CATGAAATAATAAACCAGTGTGTAATTTGTCAATGCACAGAGTACATTGCTTCAACACGTATCTTTTAAAAGTCAACTAAAAGGTACAGTATATGTCTTCAGTAAATCAGTACATTACACTACACCTTCTCACGATTCCCAATAATAGGTTTTTAGGTTGGCATGCATATGTGTAGCGGTAGCCAGCAGGTACAGTGCTGTGCGTAAAACCTCACTCCCCGACACATTAAGATGCGCACTAGCGACAGGCACTCGGGGCCATGGATTTTAGTCTGGATTATGTATGTAACTACCTCAATGCTGAAATCTAGTAATATAATTTTACATTTTTGGTTAACATTATACATGGTTGCTCTTTCTTGTCTTAACCCAAGAGGTTAGTGGTGTAGAAATGCAGGAAATGTAGAAATGCAGGAAATGTAGAAATGCAGGAAATTGTTTTAAATTACATGTTTTTTTTAACAAATCTCACTCCAAGCTGAAGTCAAAAGTTGGCAGCCCTGTTACCAGCACCCACATCTCTCTGCTCATCTCCCAGTTCAACTAAATGGCACTAGCTCATATAGTACAGATGTACTGCATTTTCATATGCCTGCCCCCACCACTGGACAATAAGTATAGAAGCAGATAAACTAAGCAGAACTGAATATAAACCAAGGCTATGTTACTGTATTGCCTTTACCTCAACTAAAATGTCTTCAGAAACATATTTTAGCGCAGTGTTCGGTTGTAATATAAGAATTCATGAAGTGGTGGCACCAACCTGTTTCCTGTATTGTAAAAATGGAGGCTAAAACTACTCAGTTACTCAAATTGTAAAAACTAAGCAGTGCTGATAAAATATAAACCAACGTTCTGTTACTGTGTCGCTTATTTTTCGCCTAAAAAGTCTAGATAAACATATATCAGCTTACCTTTCTTATTCAGTAACGTTCGTTACCAACACGCCGCCATATTGTTTCCTGTGGACAAACGTTTCCCTTGTGGCGCAGTGCATTCTGGTAGTTGTAGGTTATCTACCTCTTGAGTAAAAGCTAATGCTACAGCTCTTTTTCTCGGTTTTCTCTGGTCATTTAGCACCAATTTCAAAGGCATTTGTGTCTTTCTACTGCAGAGACAGCCCAGTTTTATGGAAAGACCATCTATACTGCAGTTACATACTTCTGTAAGTATGGAATAGACTGTTTTGAGGTACTGTGCTCTATTTGAGTGTGTCCATTTCATGCTAGGCTACTTTATACTTCTTCTCCATTACACGCCAGAAGGAAATTGTACCCTACATTTTGCTCTGCTAGCTAACTATAGATTAAGATTGTACATACAAGACAGGATAAGCTCATAATACACTTTTATGTTACAACAAAAGTAGTGTCTAGTTGTCTGCTAGCACTTCCTTCAAAAATAACTGTTTATTATAAGAACAGTATAAGACCAAACAATGGGAAATTAACCAATATTTCACAGAATAAAAACAAAAGCTGTGCAGCTACAACGGTGAAATGCTGTAAAAGGTCTTAGGTTGTTTAACTAATATCCTACCACTCACAGGGGCCAGTTTTCTGCATGATAAGTGCTATGTTTTGCTAATAATACATCAGTACTTTTACTTAAACAGGATTTTGAATTATGTCTTTCACCCCTGAGGGAGAGGCTGGAAAATAATAGGTGGATTTTACTCCTTTTATGTGTATATTTTTTCCAGTATTCTTTACTACTGGTTTATTATTCAGGGAATCAGGGATTTGTAGCCAGTGCCTCCATTAAGTGATAAAGAGAGCTTCAGTATCAGCTGAAACAAGCAGCTGTGATTTTAGTTGACGACAGTGTACACCAATTAAGGCCCTCATTGGTATTTATTTAATCTGCTGAGTGGGGCATTTGAAACCAGAAAGGCCAGCCCTACCATTAACCTCTGGTAATTGGTACAGTGTGGTTTATGAGTTCTTGAGCTGGTCTGTGCAAACCCAGAGATGTTCTGACAGAGAGATTATGTTGACGGTGATGATGATGATTTTTAATAGGAAAAAATATGATCGGATGTGTTTTATTGCAGTGTGACTAACATGGAATAGATATAATATGATGTTCAGTATACTGTATGGAATCCAGCACAATAACCCTGTCATAATTTTAAAGCTTATCTAGTTCATTGATCCATTTTTGAGGCTGCAGTTTGTGGTGTGGTTGTACATGACAGTCGTATACTCTAATGCACCTACCATGATTTACAATGGAAGAAACAAAACAATTATTGGATTCAACTGCATCTGCAAGACAATACACATTAAATTTGCTGTGCTACTTTCTAATAAATAACTGATAATGGGTTTGAAATTGTAGGCAAAATAATGTATTTATTAATGGACAATGAATCATCTATTTTAGGGATCAGTTACAAGTCACTTATATAAGCATCTTTTGGGTTGCCAGGTTGTGGAAAATCTCTTGCTGATGAGAGATTAATAGTCAAGTCATTAATAAATGAAATGAAATAAATAGTTTCTCACTTTCTAATTATCCATCATGTCTGCAGATACAAATATTAGCAATTACTAAAGTGCTAAGTTAAGTTAATAAAAGTGTTAATAAAGAGTCATGCATTACTAATTTTATAATAAGTCAATTAGCTAGCAAAAGTGAGTAAAGTATCTGCATACAATTATAGTGCCAGTGTTAAAAAGTCACTGTGGGACAATAAGTAATCCATCAAGTCTACAGTAAAGTGCATTAAAATCACTTAATTTGCACACTAGCAACTATGTTACCAAAAAGGCAACCTCTGTCTTATTGTCCTATAATTTTATTTTCAACCTGTGTTTGTTTGCCCGTGTTGTGTCCATTTTTTTGCCTGCAGTAATATGTTTGACTTTTGTTAGTATTGTGTGACATTCTTTCTAAATGTTATTTATTTTAATCTATGGTTTTATGTGTATCTGTTTTCCTGATGGACGTCAGTGTGTCTTGTTTTGCTGCAAGACGAATTTCCCATGTAGGACAGTCAAGACTGAACTGAACTAAAGAGTGAAGGGGCAAAGTGTCCAGCAGGAGGAGGATAAACACCAGCCAGAGATTTTGTTTTACAGCCTGGCAACCCAAACATGCTTCTTAATAATGGTTTATAATTAAACGATAAAACCATCAGGTACATCTCACAGGAAATTGGTACCAATATCTCTTTATGAAAATAATGGAATAATAAATAGTCGACTTTCCTGTCACACAGCAGGCTGTTAAATATAGAATAAAACATAAATAGGTGTTTATGGCCCTAACTTAATGTAAAATATTCATGTAAAATATTAAGTTAGGGGGGTTCTGCTTTGAGAAACTTAAAAGCTAATCTGACCATTTTTGAGCATCTTAAAACAAATATCTTTGATCAGAGGTTTCCAAGGTTTTAATGACTGAGTACCATTTTAGGGAGCTAGCATATGATCGAGGGCCGCACAGGAAAGGTGCACACACTCTGACATTTTTAATTATACTCTGATATTTTTAATTACTTTTAAAAAACTTTTTTATGACACTACACAATGACTTTTAATTACCTTTTTCATGATGTACTAACACGTTACAAAAATGACACTCATATTCTAGTTTCCCACTTTTTAATACATTTAAAAGTAATGGCACAGAGAGACAGTATAGTGTTTGGCATGTATTGTACCTGCTCACAGCAGTCAAGCAGGGCTTCTGCTGGGATAATAGCACTGGCACAAACCACACGTAGAACTGCAGTAATACTTGAACCAGTAGTAATAATAATGGCAATATGTTAGCTTTATTTATGACTATGATTACATTTGCTAATGATTCTGATTAGGATAGAGGTGTGTGGTCTCCTATCATAGCATGTTTTTTTCTTTATATTTTTTATTAGTACTGAGGGGAACTTTTTGAGCATATTTGAATATTGGGTTTATAGTTGTTATTTTTCTTTTTTGCACAATTAAAACACACAAAGGCAAGACAAATGAGCAATGAAATACAGTGCAGGGAGAGGCAAAAAAACCAGAGGGCTCATTTGAAGCCTCCACCTAATAACATTTTCACAAAGTTATTAAGAACACAAAAATAACACGAGTGAAAACAAACTACTAATTGCAAAATATGTTAGATTGCAACAACAAAAGAACAGCAATAACAGTATCCATTTAAGAGCAGAAAATGTGATTATGTGATGTGTAAGTTGATATGCGTGTGTGTGTGTATGTGTGTGTGTGTGTGTATGTGTGTGCATGAGGGGCATAATAGTCTGTACTGTGTTGACCCTATATTATAATTACAATACAATAAAATAAGATACGTAGCATTAAATGGGGCGGCAGTAGCTCAGTCCATAGGGACCTGGGTTGGGAACCGGAGGGTCGCCTGTTCAAGTCCCCGTCAGGACCAAAATATGGAGTGTGGACTGGTAGCTGGAGAGGCGCCAGCTCACCCCCCCGGGCACTGCCGAGGTGCCCCTGAGCAAGGCACCGAACCCCCAACCGCTCGGAGCGCCTGCCATGGGCAGCCCACTCTGACATCTCTCCACTTAGTGCATGTATAGGTCCAGTTTGTGCATGTGTGTGTTTGGACCTGTATGTGTAATTGACAACAGAGTGAAAAAATTTAATTTATATATATATATATATATATATATATATATGAAGGGCCTACATATGTGCAATATTAGAATTGGCCACAAGGTGTCCCCATCCTATCAATGACTTCAATCTCACTGTCACCTCCCTCTATTTAAATTGTATTTGAGATCACACAGGTGAGCTTCTCTTGCTGTTATTTTACCACATCAAGACGACTCACAAACCTTTCTTCACTTTCAATGTGCTGCTTTAGAGATTAAAACATTCTCCACTTTCCTCTCCCTCACTCTCTCTCTCTCTCTCTCTCTCTCTCTCTCTCTCTCTCTCTCTCATACACACACACACACACACACGCACACATACCGTTATGCCGACGAGAAAAACCCTCACGCCACTCCCCTTTATGTGTGCCTGCCTTTCTCGGGTAGCGCCAGGGACCCAGCAGGGTACAGTTTCACTGAGGCTCGATTATAATGTAAAAAAATAAGATCCCTTCTTTGTCCATTGATCTGAATCGGCCTCATTGATTTCCTCATTGTGATCAGCCTATGCTTTGGATGGTGGAGTCTTCATTGAAACGGATCACAGCGGCATACTCTCTCTGCCCTGCTGCCACACTTCTCTGAGGAGCTGAAACCTGCAGAATAACACCGCTACAGTATGAGACGAATAACGGGAAAAGCCAAGGATGAAACTTTGATCGAGCTGCAGAGCACGACAGATTCACAGACCGGAGGTAATGACATTAACACGCATTCATTAACCTAAAGCAGCAGCGTGTGGCAGTCACGAGGAGGTTTCTGATGATCAGATGATGATAATTATTATAAAGGCTGTGTTACTTCTACTGCTCAGCTACTACCCCGGCAAATAAACACATTACAGTAGGTGGTTAGCTGTAATCCTTATCCTTAAAGACATGGTAATCTAATTAAAATCTGCTTTTGAAGAATGTATCATCATGTCACAATAAAAGCCTCTAGAGAGCCTTTATAGAAAACAATAAAATGAGTTATAGTCATTTTAGTGCGTGTGGCAAAGCATTTAAAATACAAAATAAAGTCTGAGTGACACTCTTACATATACTTGGTTATATGTTTTGCTTAAATGAACTTTTAATAAGGCATATTATTAACTTTCTTTTTGAAGTTATGGCCTTGGTGTCAGTTTGGCTGCTCTCAGCACTCTGCTCTCAGCAGACTGTGCGCAATTACGTCATGTATGGCTAGAAAGAGGTAGAGTTTGGGGAGGATTTGGATTAATTAGAGTCATCTCAGTCAGGAGGTCAGGGCTGTCAACTCTCACTAAATGCTTTATAGCACAAGGACAGACCCACAATTAAAAGAAAAACCACTTTAACACACAAAGGAGTTTATTCTAGTTCATGTCTGGGATATTTTACAGCAAGTTAGTAGTGATCCTGTGACATGCCAGAGGGGAAACAGATCAAAACAAACATGGAGGGAGTTTGACTGGGCATGTGTGTGTATTTTCGGAGGGGTTTTAGCCTTTTGATTTGCACTGCAGGAATGTTCCTTAATACTGGCAGGGATTTTCAAAACTTGAGCAGATTTAATCCACATTTTTTGGGTTCTAGGTTAAGTAAATTCACACCTATCAGCCATCATCACTGTAGCAGAGTATCCTGGCTTAAGCATCTCTCATATTTTATTTAAAACTCAAATTAAGTTAAGGACAAAATGCTCTTGCGTGAAGCATGTGAGTAAACAAATCAATTTTTCTTCCTCTCTGCTACCTGTCAAGCTTCTTGTGTGTGTCCATATCTAATTGGATTACGTCCTCCGACACAGTCAGGCCTCACTGACTCTCAACCACTCTCAGTTTGTGGTTTCAGACAGCTCGGTCACCAGAGTCCATCTGGAGGTTAACGGTCTTGACAGTTCACCCGGTCACTGATTTGCTTTCAGCCATTAGCGTGATGAAACTAGCCATTATTTGTTGTACAGTAATCTCAGCGGACGCTAGGAAATGAGTAGAGATTAATAGTTTCCACTTCCACGGAGCTCCATATGTCATAATAATGGCGGGCTGTGGTCTTCAGAGTCCTGCATAATGTCCCCCAAAGCTCCCACAGTACCACGCTTTGTGAGGATGACATTGCCTCAGTGGCGTTATTACACAACACAGCCTATAAACTGAGGAAAACACAGAGTTTAAACTTGCATTCAACCTACTGTATATGCTAAAAGACAATTCAGTCTGTTAATGAGCAGTTTTTTTTTTCAGAGCCAGGAAACAAGTGGTTGTGTTCTCTCTGATATTTGACATGTCTTATATCAACAGTTACACGGACAGGAAAGTAAGTGTTTACAAATGGAAACGGCCACTTAATGGATCGCTGTGGTCAAAGGCTAATTGCTCTAATGTAAGGCTCACTAAAAAGATCTAATCAACAATGCATGGATCTAAAAAAACTTGTTTTTACCTGCATTTTCAATGAGGCAGATTAGTGTGATGTACAGTTACAAAGTAATGGCTCTGAGACAATGTGCTAACACACTGGTTTAATGTCCCGAATCCCTGTTTATATAATCCACGTCTCACTTATCGCAGGGACTAAAAGTCCTCATTATAACCTGTCATGTCCTCTCACTGACATTTTAAACTCTAAATTCAAATGTGCAGCGGAAAACTTATCATATTCAAAGCAAAGGGCTGAAGTGCTGATGCCTGTAGAAGTCCAGTATGTCAGATTGGTCAGGAGACATTGTGGTTTCCATCAGAAACTTGCTGATTGAGAATCCATAACATGAAAAGCAAAGCAAGCATTGGGGATACTCTTAAGATATACTAAGTGCATGGCGTGCATTGACTGACTGTATCTTTTGGTCCCTGCTTGTCCCCTGCATTGGAAAGGTCTGGTGTTCTTGTGATAAGAGCAGGATTGTATTCTAATGAAGATGACTCACAGGATGAGAGACTAAACTTTGCATTCAGTCCCAAAAGTTCTTTGTAGAATCATCATTGTTAATGGACCATCAATTAGAGAATAAACCCAAATGCACCTTTAAGCCTCATTATGATGTAACACATTAAGTGCATCTGAGAACTTTGTAAACAATTAATACATTTAGATGGAGTTGCAGCACTTTTATTAATGTGATCTGAGGAAATTGATTCTAAAGGGAAAAAGTAATGTCAAGCTTTTTAAATGTTTTTGTTATTAGCTGTTAGAGCCACTGATCATTGTATAAACAGTCTAAAATTACTGCTTTACCTTTTTTCTGTTGCTCAATATCAGACAGAATGGTCAACTCATCACAGTACATTTACATCCTTATCAGTCAGCTCAATGCAGTGGGCAGATTCCAAGATCTGGTCTCAGGCAAATTCTTTTGTACTCTTGATGACTTCTTTAAGAAATGCATTTGAGTAAATTTGCTATTTTTGAAAGGTCTTCTGATATTTTAGAGGTTCACTATTCAGGTGCATCTGTTTGCAAAAATGCTATATAATAATCAGAGCTATGTTACCTCTCTCAGTGACAGCTTAAAGGCTCTGAAATGTAGCTGGGAACACGTTGCCTTAGCTTGGCTCGTTATTAGCTGGTGACTAGCTTCTAGCGGTTCGGACCACTCTGCAGAAGGAAGGATGGTAAGGCGTTCGGGTGCCGTTCATCAACAGTGGCTTCATTGCAGTCTTCACCACAAAACAACAAACATGGCCTTCTCATGAGGTTTAACAGCAGCTCTGAGCTTATCTAGACACTGCTGACTATCATCTTTCTTCACCATGACACCCCAAGAGAGCAGCTTCCCACCACACACACAATGAAGCACATGTCACACCCACAAGGCCACCACCCTTACAGGGAAAAAGGGTGAGCTGATAACAATTAGTTTCTAATCAGAAATAAGAATTATTGTGCTTTTATTACCTTAGAATGAGCTGTTTATGTCTACATATGGAGCGGGTCGTCTTCCACAGAGTCCTGTTGTTCTACAGTAGCCTAGAAAGGACAAATCAAACATTCGCTCTAGGCAGGGCCATTCGCATTTTCGCATCTGCCGTCATAGTTCTCCTAAAGGCTCATTTATACTCCCTTTATGTACGAAAATTGATATATCAGTACCTTTAAACCGAGGCAGCACTGTAGATGGCAGTGGTCTGTGTGGCCATTATATACATCCCGACATGTGGGCGGAGAATTCTTGTTACTATATTAGTGACTTATTCCGTTCCACCATTTTTTAAACATCCCCATCATCTCCTACAGATGTATCTTGCTTGAACTACGCAGGAGTGTTCCCACTATCTCCCGTGGTACTGCTCCGTTTCAAAGGACCTGTAAGCTTTCAGAAAGCGCACACAAATACAGACAAAATGAACACAGGCCTCCGTCAATCTCTGTATCCAATGTTGAGCATAAATGAGCCCTAAGAGTTGGGAGAAGAGAAGAAGAGATGGCACTTAATCGTACACACTAGACCTTTAACTTGACAAAAATGTAACATTGGACAATTTATGGTAGTGGCTCCCAACTGGTTCAGCCAAAGGGTCCAGATTTTACTTCGTCATCAGTTCAACGTCCACACAGTTTAATCTATTCAGTGTCATACTTGTGTTTGGCCATGTTGTTGAGCTAGTTTGCTCTCTCTGTCAAGTAGCTGTCTGTTAAGCCTAGTTCACATTACACGATTTTCACTCTGATTTTGTGTCGCAGTGATTTCTCCACCGAGCCCTTGCCGACAGAGCCCCAGATAATGCGGTGATGTCACCAAACTACGTGTTTAACTTGGAGACAACACATCGTAAAGGCTTGGATATTCTTCCCAGTGTTGAATCAGATCCGCCTCCAGGGCCTGGATCCAAACACATCACGCTCCCCATGATCCTATGGACGCTGCCATTGTTGTTGTTGCTTGCCAGCTTGTCAGTGTTGCCAGATCTTGGGAGAGAAACAAGCAACCAGGGCTATGGAAACAAGCCCAAAAGAAGCTACAGATATATAGAGAAAGGTAACATTTAGAGAGCAAGCCCAAATAAGCAACTTCCAACTACCAATACTTGAAAGCGACTTAACAAAAGACCAAAGTTGCGGCTAATAAGTGGACCTGGCAACCCTGCAGCTTGTCCTCCTCACATTTCTTCCGTCCTCCTGCATGCTGATGTGGGACGTATCCCACCTCTCATTAGCTGATGCTCTTTGTCAGTCGTGTCAGACTTCTCCAGTTTTCTAGAATGCCAGATATCCAGTCCCAAACACAGACGAGGGGGCGACTTGCTCGTAGGCTTGTTCACACATGAGGACTCGTAGTGGCAGACTATCTGCCAACTCACCTCTGACCCAAGGTGGCTCTCAAGATCCTCTGCGACGTCAAAATCGGGGTGAAAATTGTGTAATGTGAACTAAGCTTTAGTCACTCACCCTGCAACATGAAACAGCACTTCAGAGTAAAAGTTCTGTGCCGGAAATTCACTATACTTCAAAATAAAGTGTGTTTTTACAAACCTGACATGTTCGCAAGTCACTTGTTGTCCATTTAGAATGGACTCAGGACCCACTTTTGGACTGGGACCCACCAGTTGGGAACCACTGCTTTATGGTGTAGGCATACAAAGAAATAACAAGAACAAGATAAAAACATGTCAGCTTATGTGTGTTCAAAATCTGTAGCTACGTTATGTTATAATAGCAAACTCACTTGTTCGTAAACCTGCATACATCTATCTGTGAGGTGGATGAAATCAGTAGCACCCATGACACTGCATGACTGAAAGACCATTAAAGGGTGATGAAAAATAAAGGTAATGTATTCCGCAGCATTCATCTTGCGTGTGTTGAGTGAACATAATAAAATCCCAGTCAGACCCTTTCCATTTGTAAATCCCACACTCTTTATTGTGTTCATTAGCAAGCTGTAACTAAAGACACGTGCCTCTTTATCTCAGCAAAGCTGTGGGTTAATAGACTGCTCTCTTTCTGCAAAGGCTTTGTTCAGGCTCTTATCAGGGCTGACCAACAGCCACGTGTGACCAGAGAAGAAAAAGGGGTCTGTCCTCACCTCTGTATATCCGTGTGTTCAGAGTGTATTACCTCGTTCACAGCTGCTCAAACACTGATTTATAGACGGTCACAACTGACTACTGGATGAGCGCCACATGCACTGTGACATGATATACAATGATGCAGGCACTTGGTGTCATCTTAATTCAGTTAATCTTTTTAATTGGTCTCAAAGCTATCGAGGAGAGTCAGGCAGTAACTCTTATCAAATGACTCTCAGTGCTCTTAATAGTAATAATGCATATTTTAAGGGGTTTGCTTCCATTTAAGGTGATTCCACTCTGCTCTCTGCAGCCATGGCCGATGAAGTCATCTACCAGTCAGAGGTGAAACAGAGCCAAAGAGTTGCTATGGAAACAGGCCTTGTGATTGCATTATCTCCTTGATGGAGGCATGATACTAAATAAGACAAGGAAGGCAACCGTGATTTCTTCTCAACAAAGTAGAGGACAACTGCAGTACAACTGTTTGGGCTGTTTTATTTAGAACATAATGAGCTTTTTCAGACTTTTTTTTTTTTTTTTAGATAAAAACAAAATGTTGTGGTCTAATTTTAGAACATGGTTTCCACATGCCTCCCCTCGGTCTTGGCCCATATTTGACTGGCCTTTTGGTACATGGACGAGAAACACTTTGAGAGAAAACAAACACACTCTTGGGCCATTAAACCATGTTTTATGTATGTGAGCTGTTTATAGAACAGCTGTGCCCATATGAACCATGTTTTTTACAGAGAGTACAGTACTCTATCTCTTAATAAAAGTTGCCGTATCTGGCTACAAGGCAAATGATATGACAGAAACAAGAATACTTAGGTTGTCATCTTACATGAACATCGGAACTAAACAACCCGATCAAAGGTATCATGCAAGCTAGAGTGCAAGTCTTTGTGTCCAAATCCATGTTAACAGGTGCTCCTTGGGAACTCTTTTCTCAAATACGTGTTAAATGTTATTTTGTGTCTAATGAGGATATTACATTATCCCCTCTACCCCACACATGACCTTTCGTTTAAACATTTGTTTCCGGGGATTATCAGGAACTCTCCCCTTTGGGGCTGCAGTATCCTGATGATAAGAAAGGAAACTAATATTCCTCATGGCAAAACAATCCTGATACAAACACAACTCAGAACAGAGGATGATGTTGTTACTTTATCAATGGTTTTCTTTCCCAACTATTCATGACTCATAGTGTTTATATGTGCCAACAACAGGCCTTGAGGTGGGATTGTTCTGTCGGTACTGTATTGTATTATTTTACAATAACATCATGATCAGTTAATTTCATCTAAAGGTCCATTTAGTAGCTGCTCTGGGCAAGCATGGACAAGAAGTCCTTGAATCGCTTAGAGAGAAATGGAAATTTGATCATTTACTGTTCCAGAACAATGTTTGCTATTGAAGGTCGTGTCATATCCCAGCCGGCCAACAATGTTGTTGTTGTGACAGCGGGTGACCAAAATTCAATGTCAGGATTCAATGTCTAATGCCAACGTCAATTGATGCAGAATACTGACGACAGACGAAGTTGATCTTTTGTTGGTTTTAAGTTGTGCTGTTAAGAAACCAAAATCCAACGTTGTCCAAAAGTCTCATGCTAGTGTTATCTTGGCATAAGGTGCAAACCTCTATGATGTTAATATCCACGCAATGTAAAATTTTAACGTTGTTAGGATATTTAAATTATCGTCAACCTGATTTTCATTCTAACCAAAATTTAATGTCTGTCCAAAGTAAAAGTCCATCGTCTCTCTGACATCATATTGACATCTGTTGCGAGCTAGGATGATTGAAAGCCTCAGAACAGCTACGAAACAGACTTCGAGGTGATGTTTTTTGTCAACTGCTTATTTCCAAGACCAAAAAAGTAACTTTGAAAATTACAGTTTTAGTTATTAACTTTTTAACTCTTAGCAAGCAGGAGTCCACAATTTTCCTGCCTCACATTTTCACTCCAGGACTCTACTAATAACTGGAGAAGTTTCTGAATTTTCCTTTTTGTATAAACTTAGCTGACTTGACAGGAAACGTGGGGCGAGAGATAGAGAGGATGTCTTGTCAAAGAAGGCCTAGGCCCGGTTTGAGCTCAGGATGTTGTGGTTTCACTGTATGATGGTATACACACTCAGGATTCGTCACTCGTGTGTTTTGCTATAAAATGTAATATTTCAGTCTCCTGCTTTATGTTAACATATGTGAGTGCCTGCCAGATTTGACTTACCCATGGTAATAATCAAAAGAGGCACTCAACTTGTCTCAGACTGTACCGTGGATGACTTTCCCTTTGATCCATTGCATTTAAACTTGAGTACTAACCTGCTGTATCACATCAATATTTCATACACAGCTACATGCAATCCATCTGGCACTAACTCCTGCTTAGAGGGAAGTTGTAGGGCAATCTGCGACGTGTTTGTATCACTTCCCTCGAGAAAAGGTTTATGTCATCGTAATCCAGAGTGGTGGTTGTGGTTTGCACTTGCTGAAGTGCAAAGCAAAGCAATGATCTGAGGTGTATCTGTTCGAGAGTAGTAAGCAGGGCGCTGTAGCTGAGTGCCAGCCTTGTGGGAGAGCTACACAAGAGCTGTTAATGTTTTTTTCAGACAGTAGGCGCCCACACAGGCGGCTTGAGTCATAGTTTAAAAACAATTTGGTTGGTTATTGAATCAAATTTACATTACCAAATGCATTATTATTTTCAGGTTATCATCGCAGCTTGTATAGATGCTGATCTACAGATGGAAGCCCTGATCTGATTGCTACAAGGGATAAAAGTGTTTTGCTGAGCATTCATGTTGTTTATTTTCTAGTGTAGTGTTAGTGTAAGTAGGCCCTTGGGTCTGTTTAACACTGTGAGACACCTTAGTGGATTCTGCAGTCACTCTGTGTCTCAGCACTCTGTAAGCATGCTTGTTCACCTCTCCTGACCTACAGTTTAACACTAACCTGTCTCTATCTGTCTTTTGAAGATGGTATTGCAGTGTTGACCGCATTCAGGATAAACCTGCACTCAGGTACGGGCAGATCAGAGGCTTTATGTGACGCCTGTCTGTCCGCCCTCTCATCATCATCACCCTCTGGTTTTTCTCTTTTCCTCCACTCGCTCTTTTATCATGCCGACCTCCATATCACTTTAAGTCTACATCTCTGTTTCTGTTCTGTTAACTCTGCTTTCCAGTTTGTGTGCTAATCAGACCCAGATGTCCGTGTGTCCGTGTGCTCTTTCAGCCTCCGTCTCAGCTTCTGATTGCATCTGCAGAGCCTGGCAGCTAAGCGCGTTGTGCCTTGTGTTCATGGCTGGAGTGTCAAATCTGCACTGATGCATGCACACATATACTGTGTAAGCATATACTGTAGTGAGGCACGTGCACATGGAAATCAGGTCAGTTAGGGTTGATTTGAAAATGTATACCGTGAGGTGATATACATTTGTCAACCAGATCATTTGCTTTACTGTTTATACTGTGATAGCTTTCTCTTCAGTGTAATATATGTGGCTGCATCATGCCATTGTCTGCAATGTTGCAAATCAATGTGCAGGACAGCTTTATGTCAATATTGGATTTTCACAAGATGTTTTTATCAATGTGATAAAGGACCTTGATCTTTATGGTATTTACTTTTCTTGATTTGCAAAAAAAAACGACAGTTCTGTCTGGTTATTTTATCCACAAACAGTTACTCACTGTTTGCTTCTCAGAAGATACACAATATTACATTATTATGTCAATATCACAATATACAGTTAACATATGCCATCATGCAGTATCTGATCTATATCAACTATTCCTATAGTGTCAGTCATACATGTGCACAACTGGGAAAAGTACTGATTTCTTTGACTTAAGCAAAAGTAGCGGCAATACCACATGATGAACATACTCCATTACAAGTAAAAGTCCAAGTGAAAGTAAAAAAGTTTTAAGGGAAGAAGGTACTTAAAGGATTAAAAGTTAAAGAATTCATTAGGCAACTGAATGGCCCCTGACAGTGATTTATGAGCCAGTATTGTTTGATTTTTATTACTGATGCATTTAGGTTAAGTTTAATTTATAGCTGCATTATATTTTGTAAGTATGTCACAATTTTACATGTACAGTTTGTATCATTAAAGTAATTATCTGTCTTATAAAAACTGCTGAAAACCAGGGGAGAAAGTATTAAGTTAGAAATAAATGGAAGAACTCAAGCAAAATACAGTCACCTAAAAATTAGTGCTGATACTATTGATTATTTTAGCAATTAAATATTCAACCAGTTCATCCATCGAATAATTCAGTGGTCAGAAAATAAATACTTTTGCTTTATTAAAGAGCAATTGTAAATATTGAAAGGAGAAAATAAGACTGTTTTTTTTTTAAATCAAAAACTAATTGGTTTATGGTTATGCCCTAAATTAGCTAACATAAAGTTTTACTCTAGAAAATAAACACAGAAAATAAAATGCTGCAGTCAAACTGTGAAAGCCTGACCAGCCACCATATTGATTTAGCTACGTTCTTAGAAGGGGATCTTGTCCTTACAGCTTTGTGTCACTGCAGTGTGGGCAGTTTGTGCAGCTGAACGGTGTTTGGCACACCGGTGGGGGTCCCCAGGTTTCACGTTGCAGACTTCTGCTGACATATGAGTGGGGAGCTCCGGGTGCTCCTACCTTGTGTCTGGTCTGCTCCATTGACTGGGTGCTTTCCATTGAGATGCTGGAGTACTGATGTTTTGCTATTGCATGAAGCTAGTTTGGTTTTACAATATACACACTGTATAACATTAGAGTTTCCATTTTGTTTCATGTTGAAATGATCCCAAACTTTGACATCGTCTCTGTCTTCAGTGTTTTGCAAGCTGCGCTATGGCACTCGTTTTGAGCACGGGTGCGTAATTTTGACTTATGAGGCATTTTCTTCTCATCATGTGTCCACAGTGCAACAGTAATAACACAGTGCACTGTATATAGTTATCTATCAAACAAAGATTTGATGCAGATCATTTGCATTCATGATTTTCAGTGATTCAAGTTTGTCTAGGAACGTTTCAGCTCTACTCAAAATTGTACTTATGTACAGTAAACTGCTGAGGTACCTTCTACCAGTGCTGGTGTACAGGTGCTTTCAGCCTGTCTAGTATCAAACAAGAAGATTATGATGGTTTTACTGGTATTGAAAAATCTGCATTATGTATTATGTATTATGTGCTTGTCTGTGTGGGAAAGTGAGTGCGTGGGTGGCTGAGATATCATTTCACATATTCTCGTTAGACAAATACTAGACCCTGATGGAGAGATGTAGGTTCCCTTTCATAACATTTGTTTTGATGACTCACTTTGGGATACACTGAAGGCGGCCGCTCTCCTACCAGTTACACATGCTGGCATGTAAAATGAAACTGTGGAGCACTAAATGTGCGTCTCATGGGGGCCACACGTGGAATTAGAGGTGGTTTTAATGTTCTGAGGCAATCATCGAGATTGGTAACCTCATCAGGCTGTCATGAATTCGGTTTTGGTGTGATTCGGCTGGGGAATAGAGGATTTGCTTGGGTTGAGAAAGAATGCAAAGCCTCTGTTGCTTCTCTCTCTGCATGATGAGCACATGCCTCTAGGAAGTGATATATATTGGCACGAGTGACCCTCCATTCTGTGATACTGAAGGCCACTGATTTCTTTAATTATTTAGAGTGAGAGAAAATTGTCTAATCGGGTCCATGTCATTGGTCTGACAGCCCATTGGTCCGACATCCCATTAGTCCGACTGTCCGCGGTGCTGAATGGCTCCCAGCGGGCATATTTCTACCTTGATGGTGCGCCGCGACCGGCTCTGGGTCAGCTGGGAAAGGCTTGAGTCGGAGCAGGCTCACGGCTTATGTGTTTGTCACTTTCTTTTTCATTTTAACCCACACCATGATCTTTTCCTGACCCTAACCAAGTGGTTTTTGTGCCTAAACCTAACCAGACCTTAACCACAGGGCATCATGATGATTTCGGAACGGACTTCGGAACAATGGGTTTAATATGGTCGGAACAATGGGATGTCGGACCAATGGGCAGTTCTCGTCTAATCACTATTCACTTGCCTTCAGTGCTCTGGCTAGTGAACGTGAAGCAGCAATTATGTACCTGTTGTCTTGGAAACATAATTCTCAGTGGGCTTGACCTAAGAGGGAATCTTGACCTGCTCCAGAGACTGAGCATCATACCAGCATATTAAAGCCTCTGCTGCTTCAATTTTGACCACTCTTATGTCTCTCATATGCCCTCATCTTTACAGAAGTGCAAAGAAGTTCTCTTTTAAAGGTGATCATCTCATGTCTGCCTATGAATCTTGTAGCCATCCATCTCCCGCTCTGTTCTACAGAACAGCAATGGTTGGGCTTGCATGTGTTTTGCATGTGTCTCTGGATAGAATTAGGGCATTTAGGAAAAGAGACAAGTTGATTGCATCCTTGGAAAGCTACAGGGGTTTTGGTTCTTGATTCCTCATGCATGGTTTTGCGCAGGTCTATTCCAGTTTTGGTGGCTTTTTATTTAAGACATTAGTGCTAGTAAGTTGTTTGTCACATGTGCAAGATTTAATGAGTTGGAATCCCTATTAAACAATGTAAAATGTCTCCATATCTCAAAGTGAGACAGCATCAGGGGCAAAGAGAAAGGGGTACATCACACCCATGCTACTCATATAGCCTGTTCACACCTGGTATTGATATGCGTCTTGGGTGATCTGATTACAAATGGACAGCTCCATGTCTGTCTATTGGAACATGGTCTCACTTCAAAGTCGTGGAAATCTGGCGCTTGGGCAGTGACTTGTGGCGTCAGAAACAAACGGAAAAAAAAGGCATCGTTGGCATGATACGCAGCATGTTGCCATTACAGTTTACCCCCGCCCGGTAGCATCAGGGGGAAAAGCAGCGGGACAAGGATGAAAGTTAAGGCGGCGAAATTCCGTGTGGGCCGGGCAGGAGAGGTGGTGGATGGGTCCAACCAATACCGACTTTCACCCGAGTAACAGCTACAGCTAGATGAACTGACCATTCGCTGATCGGAGAGTGGCTCCTGAGTCTGTCCTTCAGCTCTGCATCCGTGTAATAGCACCAACAGGATGTGTTCTTACCCTGCGGATCGTCAGAAAAGTAAGGACATCAGCTGAGTAGGCATTCCTTCATGAAGTCCCAGAACATGTAGGTGTACACACTGCTGGAAAAATGTGTCCATTTGTGGCCCAGGCCGTGTTTGAATGGGGTCTAAGTGATCAGAGCTGTAAATACCGTAAATATACAGCAGCTGAGTGGTAATTGGATTAGAAAACATTGTAATCTAGTTCATTTGCACCCCAAAAATATACATAGATATGTACTATAGTTATTTTCAACATTTATACCCATCTGTGCCAGTCACTGTTTCTGCGCTGTAATCCACCATTGCTGCTCAGGTCTACAAAGGGCAGGCTACACTGTGCAGATGACCCATTACTCCATTGATTCATCTCTCTGTGGAAGCAGTTGTAACACACTGCTGGCCTTTGCTTCTATTTGCTCAAGCCAGGCTCTGATAACTGGCTGCGCACAGTTGGAGCACGACCAAAAAAAAGTGAGACTAAAAAGGAAAGAGAAAAAAGGCTGCTAAGATTAAAGAAAAATATCAGCTGCACAGTCAACAAGGCTTCCCATGAGTCAACTGGGAAAATCATACTCTGTCATTTGGCCTTTGTACACCTCAGGGATTCCCGTCGTCTTACTGATGGCTTATTTTCATTCTTTTCTGGTGAGTCTCCAGCCCTATCATTGAGCTTCCACATGGAGACACCACTGTCCTGCTCTCATTGGCTCACACTGCTGTCTGTCACATCACTGTGTCTAATCAGAGAGTTTACGCTGAAGGAAGCTGGAGATCGTGTCCTTTGTGTGCTGTATGTGCTTCATTTAGAGGGGGGGGGGGGGGGGGGGGAGGGGTGGGGGGGGGGGGGGGGGGGGGGGGGGGGGGGGGGGGGGGGGGGGGGGGAGTAAGACTTCTGGTACAGCAGCAACGCCAGCCCCCTGGGCCCCTCCCCCTTACTGATGTCTCCACGCATGTTCCAGCCTCCCCCACAGGAAGTGCCACTTTCCCACCATTCAGGAATAATAGGGGAGCAAGCAGCATGCGGAGCAATGCCACATGAGCACATTCCCTCCGCCAGATTGGAGGGAGAGGGAGGCAGTGCAGGAATGTTGTGTCATTGTAGTAGAGATGAAGAGGAGAGTGTATGTGCCGCTGCCTTTGTGTCCCTCGTCTCTGTCTCTCAGCTCCTATTAGTGCTCACCAATATGGCAGGAGTTTGTATCTGCTGATGTTGCCAGGAGACTGTAGGATTTTTATTGGGCCTTTGTGAAATTAAGATGTGTGTGCGGCCATAACAATAATTGGCCAGCACATTACTCTTAAAGGGACAGTCATCTTGCTTTGAGTGAACCTTGTTATCCTGTACACCACGTACCCTGCATGGATACAAACAGAGCTTATAGCTTAACCAAGCTTAGACAAATTACTGGATGTAGATGGGATAAGTAAAGAGGAAACCCACTCTGTTGCTACAGTGTTAGAGACTATACTGTCTGCTTGTTAGATAACACTTTTTTCTAAAATATTTAAACAAGCTTATATGAAATTCTAAAGACGACACTATTTTTGGAGCTATTTTTTCCTTTGTTGGGTGTGGGTGCATGTAAACAGGAAGCTGGAACAGATGATTAAAAGGTTGACTTTTTCTCTTGCAAAAAACACATAACATTGCTATGTGTATACTGAACAATAATTTAATCAGAACACTTGTTTTTTCTCTCATTTTTCACTGTTAAAGTCAAAGATCTTTAGTTTTTTTTTCTGCAGAAATTCTTCAGTTGTGCAAACCAATTGTTGCATCAGCTGTTCAGGTGGATGGTCTCTGATGATTTTGCAGGTGAAGACGCTGGATGTGGGGGTCCTGGTGTGGTTACACATGGTCTGTGGTTGTGAGGCTGGTTGGATGTACTGCCAAATTAACGGAAACAACATTGGAGATGTTTTATGGTAGTGAAATGAACATTCAGCTCTAATGGACATCTCTGCAGTCAGCATTCCAGTGGCACGCTCCCTCAAAACATGGGAAATCTGTGACATTGTGTTGTGTGATCAAACTGCACATTTTAGAGTGTCCTTTTACTGTGATCATCCCAAGGTGCTCACTAACATGGATTTTAACAACTTTGTGACCAAAAGTTTGGAGAAATATATCTACTGAGTGCATAAAAAAGTCTGAGATCTTTAACTTATCCTGTGAAAAATGGGAGCAATATCAAAAGTGTTTTGTTCAGTGTAGTTTAGTTTGACCAGCCATCAGGCTCTGGATCAGTTGAATTTACCTCTGTTTACTGATCCTGTAGACATCCACTGACTGAGCTCACATCTGGACTATGTGACCCATCAACACACCCTCAAACTGCAAGCAAAGACATACGTAGAAAAAAAATCAGAACTATCCCTTTATTAGACACAAAATATATGACATGACAGTGACATTTAATACTCAAAATCAAACACACTAAATATAAAACTGTAAGGGATATTGTGTATATTGTATAATGACTAACACAACTGACAATAATTGCACAAGTTGTTTGTTGACAGTCGTATGAATCATATTCTACACAGATTTAAAGTTTGGCGACAAAATAAATATTCTGCCAACTTCTGCACATGTGATTGTTGTATTTTCTATTCTTCTTTGACTGCATAAGGTATTATGTTATATTTATGTAAATATTTAAAAATATTTATTAACTTTTTTTTTCCCAATTGCAGATGAAAACGGTGGCAATGGTGTCAGTTCATTATCTGAAACAGCGACACTGCCGGGACATACAGAGGTAAGTTTGGATGTATTTGTGGGTGTTTCAACATACTCACAAATTGTTAAGGAGGAAGTTTAACATTTTGGGATATAAGCTTATTTGCTGTCTTGCCAAGAGTTAGATGAAAAGATCGATACTGCTCTCATGTTTGCAAGGTACACAAAGACAAACACTGGTTAGCTTAGCTTAGCATAATGACTGGGAACAGGGGGAAACAGCTAGCCTGGCTCTGTCTGAAGGTAAAAAAAAAATCAGCCAACCAACATCTATAAATATGAAAAATGAACAAGTCATATTTTGTTTGTTTAATCCATACACAAACCTAAGTGTAAAAACTTCCTGTTTCTCCACTGGTTGCCTGGCAACATCACATCGACAACAAGAGCTCAACCTGTTTTTGCTTTTTGTGCTTAGATAATTAGCTGCTTATTGTAGCTTGTAATGTACTGACGTAAGAGTGGTATCAAACTCTCTACAAGAAAGTGAATATATCGTTCCCAAAATGTTGAACTGTTCCTTTAATTGTCACATTTGTTGAATAATATTTTTACTTTGATTTGATGTGTTAAAACTAAAATCAACCCTCTTATGTAAGGTTTTCAGCAGCAGCTGTGCAGGTGTAGGTGGATTTTGTTACATTTCCAAAGCCTGTCTTGTTTTCTTTGTAGCCATGAAATTGTTTGTTTGTGTAAATTTGTGGGCTTAGATGAGTGACCTTTTGCCGACTCAACGCTCTCATCGCTGAGTCACAAGACCTCTGTGTCTCACAGAGCCGCTCTCATTTCTCTAACAGCAAGGCAAACTGTCGCTGCTCAGACAGGAGCCTGTTCATCAGTCTGTTGGGTTCAAACAAGCAGATGGTTTCCCCAGCGCTGATTATATTATGTTTCCTGTGATATATGACTTTAGGATTTAGTGAATGAATGCGTCATTGCTAATCTATCGTACACTTCTGTTTTCCATGTTCTCATTAGGTCAGGAAGGTCTGTTAGTGGATGTGAGGATCTGATAAACAGGCTGGGTGGAGTTCAGTTAACTGCTGAACATACAGGGTACTCCAGAACATGGTTAAAGCCCTTATAGAGTAGCTCTTTAAACATGAGGCGCCTCGAAAAAGCATGGAAGGAGAAAGAGTGCTGAAAAATAAACTGGTAAATTTACTTTTTTTTTTTTTTTTTTCTTTTTTTTTTTGCAGCCAGTTGTTCCTGGCTTTCTGTTTTGGGCTTCAAACAGTCATCATAAATCTGACAGAAAATTTTTAAGTCATGTCATGTGAAATGAAGTGAGGTGAGGCATGTATTGATATTGGCGGTGGAATGTAACAAAGTATATTTACTGAAGTACTGTACCTAAGTACAATTTGAAGGTACTTGTAATTTGCTTGTGTATTTCCATTCTCTGCTACTTTATACTTATACTCCACCACATCTCAGAGGGATATATTGTTCTTTTTACTCCACTACATTTATTTGATAACTTTAGTTACTAGTTAGTTTGCATATTCAGACTATTAATACAAGATCTAAATCAATAAATAAACTAGTCCATGCCCACTGAGTTGCCCACGTACAGTTTCACATGGTGTGTGTTTTGGATACAGGTCACAGGAAATTGCAGATTAAATAGTCATCTGAACCCATTAAAAAGAGCAATGTATTCAGACAGGCTTTGTGAATTTGATAGTACGACTGCTTTATTGAAAGTACAGTAGTACCATTGTCAATAGTGGGAGAGTTAGTGGGCTAAAACTGTACATTAGTAGTTGAGGTAGCACGTTGAAAGGTTAAAGTGTTTATATGTTGTATTGACTTAAAAGTGGGGCGCACTGGTAGTTCACATGTTTTTCAACTTTTGCCAAGAGGGAACTTTAGATATTGGTCCCTAGATTATGGTCCCCGAGTTTCATGCAGATCGGTCAAACTTCTTAGGAAGAGATCAATTTTAAGTGTTTTTCAAAAAATTCAAAATGGCGGAAAGACTATATAACTGGAAGTTATGGGTTCTTGAGGCAAATTTGTTCCTCATGAGGAGAGGCATCTCTGTGCAAAGTTTCATGTCTCTATGACATACGGGGCATGAGATATGACCATTCAAGTTTGCAATTTCAATTGGTTGCTATAGCGCCCCCCTTTGGCCAATTGATGTAAAATTGCTTCATTCGCATCCTCCCATGACCCTCTACCACTGTGCCAAATGTCACATGGATTGACCAAGTCAGTGAGGAGAAAAACGTGGAACAGACACACACACACACACAGAGTTTTTGTCATTATATAGTAAGTACTGTACTGTAGACACAGACACATAAATGCATCACTAATAATCCAATCATATGATATACTTTATTCTGATAGCATAATGAGTACTTTTACTTCTGGTACCTTAAATATATTTTGATGCTAATACTTTCCTTTTCCTTCAGTAAAATTCTGAATGCAGGACTTCAACTCATTAAAGAGTCTTTTTTTACACCGTGGTATTGCTACTTGTACTTAAATGTGATATCTGAATACTTTGCCTACCATTGATTAATATTGAATAATTAAATTATATGTTTTTAAGAAATCATTTTATTTCATACATTAAGACACTGTACTTCAGTACATTGACACATGTGAACACGTCTGTGTAAAACAATGGCGGGTGGCAAGAATTGATCTTGAAACAGTATGCTAAAACACATTTCTAATAAAATTTGAGGTGCAAATGGGCAACTCAGTAACAGAATCTTGGTTTATTTGATCAGTACTGCCTTGTTTTATTGTTTGATCTCAGTTTTTCGGCCTCTGTTTTCACTGTGCAGAAAACAGTATGGCGCCCACTTCCTGTTTACAAACTCCCCCCTACAGCACTTAAATAGGTTTCTATAACATCATGGGGGAGAAATAGGCACTACACTAACATAAACGTGGTTTAAATTTGAACAGCACTGCCTAGTTTTACCGTTTCAGTCTGAGTTTCAGAGATACAGAGAGAGAGGCGGGTCTGTCTCTTGATCTGTTTCTATACTCTTTCTGTCGGCGGCGGCAGCATGGGTGGCATGCAATACGAAAATGTAGAAGCCCAGCCTGTAGTTTGAGCAACAGCCCGAGAGCCAGCAAAAGTCAGCTGGATGATGTAAATTGCATCATCCAGCAGAGTTTCACTGGGATGCGAGGAGGGATATCTAGGCACTGGTTAGATGGAGGGAAGTTTACCATAGTTCATTTACACATACTGCCCACAGTGCTTTGATACAAAGCTGGTTGAAAATCAGCAAAGCATCCTTCTATATTCAATATAAAAAGAACTCTGTCTACAAACACACGTTACATTTACCTATTTTCATTTTTAAAAAAGTATGGCAATGTAAAGCCATACGCTGACACAGTTAGTTTAGACGCAGTTAGATTTGAGTCATTCAACTGTGTGACAAGTGTAGACTGAAGGTTTACAGTCGTATCTTAAATTCCAGGTTGGTTAAAGGTTATGAGACACATATTGATGTTTTAATGAACAACATTGTTACAGCGCTACAAATACAAATAAAGATGCATACGGTATCTATTTCCAGCAGCGTTCTGTTTCCAAATTACCTTAGATATTACTGGTGTCAATAAAACACATTTCCACAGAAAAATGAAAAAAACATCCAGCCTCAAAAAATGTATCCGTAGTTTAGGAGTTGAGGCAATGAGTGAAATACAGAAGTTAATATAGAACATGTAGAGCAAGTCTCTTTTCCACTGTCAGCTATTTTTGTGTAATGATAGACTGTGATTGTACCGTGTCCAGAATTTCCTGTTTTATGTGGCTTTTCTTCAGTCGTCGTGGCCTCCCTCTGAACGTTTTTCCCAAGCAACAACATCTAGAAATACTTTCAATATGCTCCCGTGCACTAACAAGTGGATGTCTGCTGCATGGAGTCAGTAGTCTACAGTAACTTTAATTACATGTGTAACTTACATGTGGGACATAATGTGCTTCCCACTATATAGAATACTGTATATGTATCAGTGTTAAAGTGTGAGCCCTTTGCGTGTCTTAACGTACATGACAGTTTCATTTCTTGCTCTCTCAGTAAATGTTGTTCAAGTATCGCGTGTCTGTTTGCTTCCCACTATGTGAGAAATCTGAAAGTGTCATTTTGTTTGTTTGTGTCTCCCCTTAGACCGACAAGCTACAACCAAACAAAGACACGGTGTTCTTCAGGGACGGAGTTCGGAGGATAGACTTTGTGTTGTCTTACGTAGACGACAAAGATGGAGAAAAGAAACAGGTAGGCATAAAAGAAAAGTGACAAGTTGTGTCAGTTGACGACTCAGCATTTTACTGAGTGACCACTGACTAACTGTGACACTGTTGATGTTACACAGCTCACATCCAGAACAGGAATACATGGTACTACAAAGAGGAAGTGAGACTCTGATTATATTTTTTCCACATGACACATGCCATTTGTGGACTTCAGTATTTGGGTTAAGTAGCATGTGAAAAAATAAGGTGGGCTGAATTTCGAAGGCTAAATCTGTTGTTTAAATGTGTCAGATACATATTTAAACAGCAAGTCGGTGACTTATTGGATCAGACTTGGTACTGTCAGATATCCAAAATCAAAGGACTTGGATTAGGACCAAAAAACTTGATTGGATAAAATCACAGTTTGACTAACTTGAAAGTTAGCTTATCTGTACTTTTGTGAATCCAGTTTCCCTCTTCTTGGACTAATTAAATTCCAGATATGGAAAGTCATTGTTGTTTTATTTGTAATTACTATGATTTAATTTGTTGTCCATTATGGTTTCACAATTGTGTCCAATAAAGGCCTCAAAGGCCCTCTCTGCAAAGCTGTCCACCTACATCAGTGACATCAATGTTCAAATTCGTCCTATTTTGAAGCATGTTGTTAACTACATCATCGTCAAGCAGCAATCTGAAATGGCAAAGACAGAGTTGATCCTTTTCCAGTGACTTCGAAAATGACATGGCGGTTGGCTCACATACAAACAACCGCAGTTTTAAACATGTGGTTAATGTAACGGTCACAGTTATGCACCAAAACTATGTGGTTGTTAAGAAAACAGGCCATGGTTCGTTCAACTTAAAAAAGGTACATTTTTTAAATTGACTTTCAGTTTCACGTGGGACACAAACCTTGGTCTCTTGGGTGAAAGTCCTGTGTTTGTTTGAGCCATCCACCACCCCACTCTATGTGGACTTTGTCGCTCTATACTTTATACTGTGTTACCTGACTTCCTCCTTTGCTTTTGTCTTAATTACCAGGGCTACTAGAAGTTGCTGCCTAACTGTAGACATAAATATGGGTCATAGTCATGGATATATGAAGAGAACTGGATACAGTGTTGAAAGTGGGACCCAGTTCGTTCCTGTGAAGGCTGCTCCGTAAAGCCAAAAATTACCTGCGCATAAAAGTACCTGGATGATTGGCACTCTGTCTGCACCATGTGGTCCATAAAGCAGGCGGCAGGTGCTCTCAAGACTTCCGCTGGTCAAACTGCTAAATTGTATTTTAGCGCTCTGCTAACTTGATTAAGAATAAACTTGTAATGAGTGGAGTTTGGACCCATAAGCAACACCAGGGACAGGCGGAACAGTTTATACTGAGCTTTTATACATCACTTCAATAGATACAAGCAGTGCAGACTGATGAAGCAACAGAGATAGTCAGTGTTCAGTCTCAGAGCCCCTAGGGGAATAGAATCTGCCCGCAGCTGTCCATGTGGCATTCTGAAGCAGCACACAGGTGAGATGCCAGTGTCTGCCAGGCACACACACACAGCAGACAGTTCAGTTGTGTGCAGTGGTGATGCGAGGGGGCAGGCAGAGAGCAATGTCAGAAGAGATGAGGTTTCAAACCCAGGAGTACTCACTGAGGAAACATTCTCTCCGATGCGAAGCTGGCAATGGACAGGGACGAGCTTGACAGCAGCGATGAAGCGTGGAATCCACAGGGCACACACAGTGTTGTTGTCTGCAGCCAAACAGCAAAGCAATCCACAGCACAGAAGATCACAGGTGACTGAACTGGTGAACTCACTTTGGAAAGATGGGTGACGGTTTTTCCAGACAGCCGCAGGAAATGGGCGAACAGGAATCAGGAAGGCAGAAGCAAAGCTTGTGGTCGAAAACAGAAGGCAGATTGTTTTACCGAGGAGCAGACGAAGCAGGAGAGTCAGGGACGGGCAGGGTCGATATTGAGGAAGCAGTCCGGAAACAAACACTAAATAGTCTTGCATGTAGGCGAAGAACAGTCTGGCAAGGAGTTTCTGCGAAGTGGGCGTCGTTGTAGTGACAGGGAATAATGAGCCACAGGTGAGCGGTGTTTGCCTGATAAGGCTGCGTGGTGGACTGGCAGGAGTGGGAAATGCGTGGACAGGCGATAGGCTGGCAGGTAGGTGTGGTGACGAGGCGGGGCGTGTGGAAACTTACTGAATGAGCTGAGGAGGTGGCATGTATGGGGGATGAAAAGTGCCCACTGTGACAAAAATGATTCAATCCTGCAGCTCCTCTAGACTTTCAAAATGTTATCTGACCGTCATTTAGTGTGGGTTGTGTGACACTTGAGAAATATATCTATCCACTCATTTACAGACGTGTCTTTCATCATGTAAGTCTATGCGAAAAGTCTCTTTGAGCCACATGGCCTCGTGTGGTAAACGTAATTCCACTGTTTGGCCACTATGAAAAGCCCTGCACACATCTGGGGGGCTTGGTCATTTTAACCTGCTTGCACAGACGACCTATGTGGCCCTTTTTTGAGTGAGGGTGGACTTGAAAAGGTCAGAGCACAAAGGCTTGGAAGACTGATGGTGGAAAGTTTCTCTCCTGACCCTCCTCAGTCTCAACCCTTTTTTTATCCACTTTTTTAGATTTTTTTTTATCACTCTCTTTTTTGGGAAGGTTCCTTTGGGAGCTGCACAGAACAACCACAGTGCCAAAGATCACAGTGTGTTCAGAGATTGAAACATTTAGTCTCTAATCATTTTTCCTGGAATTTATTATTTTTTTTTCCATGCTTTTTTTTTTTTTTAAAGCCAGCAGTTTTGCAGGTTAATTGGTGACTCTAAATTGGCCGTAGGTGTGAATGTAAGAGTCAATGGTTGTCTGTCTCTATGTGTCAGCCCAGTGATAGTCTGGCGACCTGTCCAGGGTGTACCCTGCCTCTCGCGCAGTGTTAGTTGGGATAGGCTCCAGCCTCCCTGTTACCCCCAACAGGGTCATGGAAAATGAATGAATGAATGTATTATCGTGTGGCCAGTTAACACAACTGGGATGGAAAATTTGGAGAATTTGTCAGGGTTACATCTAAAACATAAATGTGCTCCCACAGTATTTAGCAAGTCAGTAATTAAGGGTTTGTCACTAGCTGTGTCTGTTGATAGGGGAAATATAACTGTTAAGTGTCTCTTAAATCTATTTAAAAGCTACAACACCCATCATCACACCCCCTTATGCCCCCTGTTTGACCCGTCTGTAACAACACAACCAAAGAGTCAAAGAGAGGACCTCAAACAGGGGCTTTGGTAAATTTCTCTAACAAGGATGGGTAAAGGAGAAAACATGCGCAGTGAGTGTGTAGCTCATGCCTGTGGTTTGTGTGTTTTTCTACAGGAGAGGAGGAGGGAGTTTGAGGCCAACCTTGAGAAAGCAGGACTGGAGCTGGAAACAGAGGACAAATCAGTAAGAAATCCAACCACAGAGTAACTGCACCACCTAGTGGACAGTTTGCTGAGGCACACCATATTCTACAGAAGGAGTCTTAAAGGGATGGCTCAGCATTATTAATATACTCATGAAACTGCCATTAATTCAAGTATTTTTTCTCCTCTCCTCCATCTCTCCTTGTACCAGGACTCCAAAGATCAAAAGACATATTTCTTGAAGATCCATGCTCCATGGGATGTTCTGGCCACTTATGCTGATGTCTTAAAGATCAAAGTCCCTTTCAAGTTGAGCGATATCCCCCACGGTCAGGATGTCCCGCTGGATTGGCTCTCGCATCCGTTCCGCCTGCCAGAGCACATCATGCGACCACAACCTGACTACTTTACACACCCCTTCGACAAGGGCAAGACTGACTTCTTTCTCATCACTGACAAGGATACTTTCTTCCCGCCTTCCACAAGAAACAGAATCGTGAGTTTCTCTCTGATTTTCATGATTGATATATCAGTTTAAAGGAATATTTCATTCCCCCAAATGACCAACTGTATATCAATTACTCATCCTGTGTCACGCTGAATTTGTAACGAAAATTTTGTCTTTCCTCACATACCTCTGTGGAGAACAAAGAATCCAAAAACTGTGAGAATTCTTGATGAATTGATGTCATAGTCGACTGCGTCTGACAATGGAAAAACTATATCTAAACTTCAGGTTACAAACTCTCACATTGACAAGAACAGTAATTTTACGTTGCAGAATACGGGAGCTTCTGGGGCCAGTTGCACAAAGCACCTTAAGTTTACTCCTTAAGTATGACACTAAAGGCTTACATGAAATGCCTCACCAATATTGACTGGAAAGATCCCGTTGCATAAAGCCACAGAGCAATCGTTAATTGTTAAGGGGCTGGAAGAGTGCAGTTTTGGAAAGTTGAGAAATCCAACCCCAGACTGTTACAATCATAAATTGACTTGTGGTAAAATTTAAAGTACAAAATCAGTTGCTCATCATCATCATAAACTCAACCATGTTGTGTCTAAGAAGGAGTCAGGGGTACTTTATGTTTTTGTCCTTGCTTTGGTTAGTAAGGTTCTTAGTGCAATGGTTTAACAAACTTTAAGCAAGTCTTTAAGTATAAGACCAAGATTAGGAGAAAAACTTAAATTCTTAAGTAAACATTTTCAGGAAACCTTAAGGAGAAGGAGAAGACTTGAGAATGTTCTGTGCAACAGATTTTTTTCAAGGAATCTTTAACTTGGACTTTAAGGAAGATCTTAAAGTAAGGTCCCTGGTCTACCACTGCTTCCATTGGTAGTTTGTCTGTGTTACTGTCTGACTTTTGTGAATCCTTTAAAACACCAAAATTAGACAATAACACAAACAAATTACTTATAGAGGCAGTAAGAGAGCATAGGTAACTTTCATTTTCTGTTCAGTTCTTCATTGGAAAGGTCTGTCTGTTTGGGAAATAGGGAGCATACAGCTGGATCAACGAGACTTGGATTATATGCCAAGAATTGTTTTTTTCACATATGATTGTGTGGCCTCCCAGACCAATATTAGCATTATAAAACTGGCAGATGACACTACAGGTATTGGGTTGATCACTGGTGAGGGAGAGATATCATACAGAGGGCAGGTAGCTGAACTGGTGGGCTGGTGTCAGGAAAATAATCTCTCTCGTAACATAGATAAGACCAAGGAGATGATTATTGATCCTAGGAGAAGGAAAGGGGTGCACATGCCACTATACACTGGTGAGACAGAGGCAGAGAGGGTGAAAACCTTTAAATTTCTTGGCACCCACATCAGCGAGGCTCTCGCCTGGTCTCACAACACACAACAGATCATTAAGAAATCCCAGCAGCGACTGTTCTTCTTAAGAAAGCTGAGGAAGTTTGGCATGACAACCAATATCCTAGAGTGTACTTAGCTCAATCACAGCCTGGTATGGAAACTATACTGCCCAGGTCAGGAAGGCCCTCCAGCGTGTGATAAAACCTGCACAACTCATTTCAGGAGCAGCTTTTCCTTCCATTCAGGACATTTATAACAGCAGGGTCATCAGGAAAGCCCAAGATATTATCAAGGACAGTACACACCCCAACCACAATCCCTTTAGCTCTCACAATTCTTCTGGACAGTCTGGCCCCAGGAGACTTTGCTTGTTTTTGTTTTACTCTGCAGCTTTAGAACATGCTTGTGCAACAATGAAGCCGAATGTAAAATGCATTTAGCTAAAATGTTCCTCCAAATCCAAATCCCCTAATCTCTTGTTAAATCCCATCCTTGTTTTTAAGGTGTTCTACATTCTGGCTCGCTGCCCGTACTACAAAGAGGGTCGGAAAGAAAAAGACAAGACGGGAATCAAGCGACTGCTCAGCAATGGGACGTATACAGCAGCCTTTCCTCTACATGATGTAAGACACATGAAGAAAGAACAGTCAAACATATGTTCATTCACTTTGGCCTTTCCATTTCATGATATTTTTTACCTTTACTTCATGAGACAGGGAGAAAACCGTGCAGAGCTGCTACTTTAATCTTGGTTAAGATTCACCATGCAGTATTTATGATATGATGCATATGAGTAACCTGATTCCATATTAAGTACTTAGAGATAAAGCTTCCTGGACCACAAACATTAAAATGCTGCTTGTATTTTAAAGGGTAACTTCTGGATTTTCAAATCACTATACATATCACTTTGTTAAAGTTTACACTTTCTGCAATTATAATCCAATTAATAATATTTCCACATATACTGGCAGAAAAATTGCAGTCCATAGAATGATTACGAAAAATTAAAAACAGGCATTGACTCAAGCAATTACTGCAAGGTATTAAATCATAACAACATACAGTATATTGGTCTAATTGCCTGCAGAACTGAAATATATTAAAGAGTATATGGCTGTCAACTCTCAGTTTTCCAGTTATACCCAATTTATGCAATTACAAGACTGTTGAGGGACCCCAGTGTCCAGTGTGGTTGGTACCAGTGGATGCCTTAGGTCCACTAGTTTAGTGATACCTGTGTCTTCATTGTAGCTTTAAAATGGTTAGCCCGATACAGCAGGTTTTATTCGGTAACATTAGTCCTCCTCACTTCCCACCTTCAGCTCCGCCTGTCATACCTGCTGCTTCTTCTCATATTTTTGCAGAGGTTTGGTCAGTGCCTCTTTTCTTCTTTCAGGACTGACTGACTTTGCTTATAGACTGCAGTTTGCCTCAAACCTTGTCATTATTGCATGTGCATCTGTCCCCCTCTCTCAGATGGACTGCACCATTTCACAATACCTGCTGGGGGTGGGAGTATCAGATGGCATGTTGACATGTGTTTTAATGATAAAAATATATTTATTTATCATATAAATACATATAACTTGTATTGTCAGTGATCTAAGTCAGTAAGTTGTTGTACTTGATCCAAATTAAAGGTCAACCATAGACATTATGGAAATGATCCCTATAAAGATAAACCTTTATGTTAAATAGTAAGATCCTTTCCATAGTCCATTTAAATAAACGTTAATTTTTTAGAGCTAACATACTTTTTCATCTAACTAGGTGAACAAAGAGTTAATTTCAGCCACCTCAGAGCTAGTGATTGTTGGAACAGTGGAAAGATGAACCAAGGCGGGTTTTGTGAATTTTACAGTATTGTGTTTCCGTCGACTTTGTCTGAAGTGTGATTTACAATGTTAAAGGGATAGTGCACCCAAAAATGAAAATTCAGCCATTATCTACTCACCCATATGCCAAGGGAGGCTCAGGTGAAGTTTTAGAGTCCTCACAACACTTGCAGAGATCCCAGGGGAGAGGAGGTAGCAACACAACTCCACCTAATGGAGGCTTACGGCGCCCCACATTCAAACATCCAAAAACACATAATTGAAACCACAAAATATCTCCATACTGCTCGTCCGTAGTGATCCAAGTGTCCTGAAGCCCTGACGTAAAAAGTTGTTTGGAAAAACATCATTTGAACTCTGTTTTTAGCCTCATTGTAGCCTGCAGCTCTAACTGCCTCTCTGTGCATCGCTTTCGTGTGTGCGCTTGCGCTACACCAGCGAAAGCACATGAACACACATGAACGCGGTGCCCATGTCTCACGGTCTCACGTGAGCGCAGTATGCCTCCCTCGGCATATGGGTGAGTAGATAATGGCAGAATTTTCATTTTCGGGTGCACTATCCCTTTAAAGTGACTGTTTCTTTAAATGGAGTTGGGTGGCTTTGATGATAGTAATTTTGGGGCTGACTCTGGTTAAACAAAAAGGATGTTACTATTTACCAAAAAGGTCTTGATCTGTAGAGATCCTTTCCATAATGTATGATAATAATCTGAGCCTGTCAGTGGCAAAAACAAACACTTTTAATGGGTGTAAATTGATGTGTACATTTGCCCTGAGTGGTTATATTGCAGCCTGTCCTGTTCGATACTGGACCAATTTCAAGAACTGTTGTTCCCATTAGTCACAAAAACATGATAAAGTAGGGTCCAGGTTGAAATACACTGAAGTTAACCATTAATGCATGATCATTAGCCACACTGACAGGAGCAGGTCTGTAGAATGGACACATTTTTATTGCTATTACAACTGTCCTGTAAAAAAAAAAAAAAAAGTGGTTCTGTAGTAGTTAACAGGCCTGTAAAATGTTGAATGCAGGACTTTCATTACAACTACTTTTGTTTCATTTGTTTATGTATTTCCCATTTCCAGATCAACAATGATTAATTAAGATGTTCTTAACATAAGAAGACATTTCATCTGTTTGTTCCTAAGTAATATAAGTTATAAAGCACAAGACTCTTTGTATTTTTTACTTCAAGGAAAATGTGATGTTCTGAAAATGTTAATATTAAAAGAGGGAATAAAAGGAATTGTTTATTTTCCTTTCAGTGTCGATACTGGAAAAGGGCACGAAATGCTGAGTGTGAGAGTGAGCGCTACAACTTGTACAAACACTGGGCCAGGTTTCTCTGCTTCTACAAAGAGCAGCCTCTTAACCTCATCAGGTAAACACGCAGCACCTGAATGCTGTCATCTTTTGTTTTCTGAAAGTCATCTGCAGAGTTAAATGTGCTGTTCTCGGTTGCAGGAAGTACTACGGGGAGAAGATTGGGATCTACTTTGCCTGGCTGGGCTTCTACACAGAGATGCTGTTCTTTGCAGCCGTCATGGGCGTTATATGTTTCACCTATGGGGTGCTCAGTTATGACGACAATGTGTCAAGGTTTGTACCACCAGAGGGCGTCAGGGAGCTGATAAACTATATGGCCAAAAGTATATGGACAAAATTACACTCAGATGTGAATGTTGGCTGTTCCTAAACCATGAATATTAATCTGCTGTTGGAACCGTCTCCACTCTTCTGGGAAGAGTTTTCACGAGATCGTGGAAACTGGTTGCAGAGATTTTTTCCGCATTCGGTCACAGGATTACAACAATACTGAGGACCACTGATGTTAGCCATTAAGGACTGAATGGTTCATCCCAAAACATTTGGATGGGGTTAAGATGAGGGCTCTCTCAGTTTAGGAAAACCATTTCATTATGGAGCTTCCCTTGTGCACCAGTTGTTTTGTTTAAACCAGAAAGGGCTTTCCCCAAACTGTGGCCACAAACTTTTAATCAGACAGAGACAACTATGTTGACAGAAATATCTACATACTTTTGGCCATATAATACATTACTCCTATGCCACAAATTTTAAAGACAGATTCTCACATTATAATAAAATGATGGCCTTCTCAAAACTAGATGCTGTATGGTTTTAGTAAGACATACTGCTCTGTACTTGTTCTGTACACCCTGTATATGCTACCCCTGAGACAGATAATACACCATCACAATATCTCTTTCCATAGCTATGTGGATGCTACACAGCTCTACCTGTTCTTTTGTCTATAGTTGCCTATGTCTATCCCTATGCCTACTTAAAATTCAACTCTGAAAAGACAGAAGTTCTCATCATTGGCCCTAAACATATCTCAAAACAAATTCAGCCACTCATCAGCCCCCTCACTCTTAATATGAAATCAGATGTAGAAACCTGGGTGTTACTCTGGACAGTAGTTTGACCCTGGAGCAACATGTAGGGAATGTAGTCCGGTCTTGTTTTTAAGACTGGACTCGTATACAGCTATACATCAGCTCCAGATCGTTCCAAATTCAGCAGCTAGACTTTTAAACCAAAACAAAATGATCCTCATGCACCACACCTATTTTGGCCTCCCTGCATTGGCTTCCTGTCTCTTTCAGAATCCATTTTTAGGTACTTTTAATACTCTACAAGGCTGTCAATGATTTTGCACCGGAGTGTATAACTAAGCTTCTCACACCGTGCCGTCCAAACAGGCCCCTCAGGTCTGCTAGTCTGGGTCTTCTGACTGTGCCAGAGTCCAGGTTAAAGACAAAGGGTGATCGAGCCTTTTCAGTTCTTGCTCCTCGACTTTGGAACATCCTCTCACTGAGCATCAGATCAGCTGACTCTGTTCACGTCTGTAAATCTCGTCTGAAAACTAACATTTACAGATTTGCCTCTCGTGACAGGTGATAGACTTACTGTGTGTATGGGAGTGTTTGTATGTGCAGCCATGTGTATATGTCTGCATGCTGACAGGTATATAAGGGTATATGTTGGTGTAGGCATATGTTTATGCTTATGTTTTATTAGTATCACTTTTGTTTTGTATTTTCTTCACCTTGGAAAGCACTTTGTGCTCTACATATAAATCTATTATTATCGTTATTATTTCCAAGCTGTATTTACCTTCTATTGATGCACTTACATTTTTGAAATTCTCTTTTTTGTTCTTCTTTTAGCAAAGAGATATGTAACGCCACTATTGGAGGCAGTATTGTGATGTGTCCACTCTGTGATAGGAAGTGCCCTTTCTGGAAGCTCAACTCTACGTGTCTCTCATCCTGGGTAAAACATTACACTTTATATGTTCATAGGATGCAATTTTTTAAAACAGCAGTAACCTTAAAGTCCACATTCCAATCTTAAATTTTACCACATAAGTGTGTTCAAACCTATAGGAGAGATAGGAGAGATCCTTATAGTCCCCTTATAGTAGAGATCCCAAGTTCTACAACAACAACAAGCATCTGAGAACAAAAACAGAACAAAGAGCAATAGAGGAGTATCAGGCAAGAGCCATCACATATCAAAAACCCCAAATCTACATTACAAATGAAGAAAGGAAACATGAGTGTGGGAAATACATTATTAACTCAAATATGTGCAGATAATTGTATCCTGCTGAGTCAGCAGTATGTCATCCTGTTTATGCCCAGCGTGTCTTCTGCCTCTCTGAGGAACTTATTGTTTTCCATATTCTCTCTTCCAGCAATCCCATCTGTTTGATAATGAGGGGACGGTGTTCTTTGCCATATTTATGGGGATTTGGGGTGAGTGTCAGTCGATGCTATTCTTACTGTGTTTAACCTGTGTTGAAGATCCAATTTGTTCCCTCTCTGGTGAGACAGATTTTCACAGTTAAAGCCTTTTCACACCAAAGCATCGACCTTTATCCGTTCTGCCCGAGCCCAGTAAAGATGCCAGCACAATTATGTCATTATATACTAAGCATTTGGAAAGCTTGCCAAGCACACTGAAGGCCGAGCGTGCCTAAAAACTGCCCACATAGCCAAGAAGTGTCGTGGCACAGCTGAAACACATTACACTCCTCAAACTCAACACAGACACTCTCTGTTTTCAGCCAGTGCAAAAGTGACAACAAGATTAAGGTCATAAAAACTGTCCAAAAAGTGTACGGACACACCTGCACAGCATGAGACCTCTCATTGTACAACAAAATCTGTTTGGTAGATGTGACACCCAGACTTTAGATTTTACAACTGTTTTTTCCTTTCTTCAAATCTACGTGGCAGTGACTCTGTTTTTGGAGTTCTGGAAACGGCGCCAAGCCCGGCTGGAGTACGAGTGGGACTTGGTTGACTTTGAAGAGGAACAGCAGCAGCTTCAAATCCGGCCTGAGTTTGAGATCCGATGCACTAACAGGAGACTCAACAAGATCACTCAGGTGCCTCAAACATGGAAATAAACATGAAAATATTGCATACTTTGTGGTTTGCAGATAATAATATGGCACCTACTTCCAGAACAATAAATCCCAGCTGACATTGGGCGAGAGGCCAGAACAATAAATAATAATATTAAATCTTATCTAATATTTTTCAGGAAATGGAGCCATATCTCCCCGTCACCAGCAAGTGTGCTCGCTTCTGCCTCTCGAGTGCCACTGTAATATTCTGGGTAACTAAATATTTAAAGGAATACTTCACCCCCCAAATAACCATTTGCACATCAGTAACTCACCCTGTGTTTCATTGGATTTGGGGAAACAAAAATGTTTTTCTCACATGCCTCTGGTGAACGAAGAATCCAAAAATGGAGAAAATTCTTGTTGTAAAGTAAGTAAATGGGGTCCACGTTTAACAACAGCAAAACTATAATAAAACACCCGTTTCCAAACTCTCACACAACTTGTACAGTTTAATCCAAGTCTCATTTATCCTGTCATATGCTCAATACTGCAACAAGGAACTGAACAAGAAGTGAAACTTACCTTTACTTTCTTCAAAGCCAGACTCCATTGACAAAACAGGGAATTTACCTCGCTGTACATGGGAGCTGCTGATTGACCACTGCGTCGATCAGTAGCTTGTTTGTGTTATTATGTGTCTTTGGTGTTTTAAAGGGTTAGTTCAGACTCACCAAAGTCACACAATAACACAAAGAAACCACATATTTTGAGGCAGCAGTAGATCAGCAGCTCATGTGTTCAGTGAGGTAAAATTACTGTTTTTGTAAATGGAATCTGGCTTTGAAGAGAGCGTAGATAAGTTGGACTTTCTGTTCAGTTGCCCACTGCAAACGGCTGTCTGTTTTAGAAGTACTAAGCATTAGACTGGATGAATGAGACTTGGATTATACTGCACGAGTTGTGTGAGAGATTGTAACCGGATGTTTTGATATAGTTTTGCTGTTGTTAAACGCAGTCTATGACTTTATTTCTACAGAAATTGACTGTTACATGTGGTAATTGGTATACAAATTACCACATGTAATTTTGTGGGCTAAGTCATGTGTGTTTGTGTAAGCACGTTTGTGTGCTATTTACAATCATACATAGTCATTTTCCCAGCCTAGTCACATCCTGTTAACAGCTCTACATGTGTGTGTGCCCCTCACAGATTTCTCTGATAGTGGCCTGTATCATCGGGGTCATAGCGTACAGGCTGGCTGTGTACGCTGCCTTTGCGAGTATCATTAAAGACCCTATGAGGAAGATCCAAGTGGTGGGCAGGTTCATCACTCCACAGCTAGCGACTTCTGTCACTGCCTCCTGCATCAACTTTGTCATCATCATGATCCTCAACTTCTTCTATGAGAGGGTGGCTGTTGGGATCACTGATTTGGGTAAAGAGGTTTAATATGACGTTTACTGAATGGACTGAAACACAAATGACAGGAATCTACAGTAGTCATCATTTTGTCTTTTATACCTATCTACTGTCTAATGTTTGCCTCCTGCAGAAATCCCAAAGACTCACCTGGAGTACGAGAACAGGTTGACCATGAAGATGTTCCTCTTTCAGTTTGTCAACTACTACTCGTCATGCTTCTATGTGGCCTTTTTCAAAGGCAAATTTGTGGGTTTTCCTGGCGAGTACTCGTACATGTTCGGCAACTCGACCACACTGAGGAATGAGGAGGTGAGTTTTTCTTTCCTTTTATACAATATTGATTATGCACTTTACTTAGCTGAGATTTATTTCTTTTGAGTAAACATCTTCATAAACAAGGGCAGGTTCATGTCATACCTCCAACATTTTAACACATTTTTCTACCAGTGATATCAGCTTTATAATCTGGAAGTGCATGAAATAAAAGTGTGTTATGTAAACTAAAAACCTCTTTCTGTCCCAGTGTGACCCTGGAGGCTGTCTGATTGAGCTGACCACACAGCTGGTGATTGTTATGGCAGGAAAACAACTCTGGGGGAACATTCAGGAAGCTCTGCTGCCGTGAGTCCATCCATCCTTTCACCTCTTTATAAATCACCTCAGTCACTCATTCAGTGCGAAATTAGCAAATAGACTTATCAAGAGGGGGATTTTCAGTTAAGGTTTCTATTCTATTTCTATTGCATTTTAATCATTCTTTTGACAAGATCATTATGTTGTGTGCACACATTATCTTCAAGTGGGTGCAAGTTGATTTAACCTCAATAAATATAATTTCCTGTTATGCAGCTTGCCCACTTGAGATGCACACACTCATGGGAAGCAGAGAGAATTCAGTTAATTACGTTTTACTTTTACCTCTGAATGTCTAAATGAAATTCTTGCTCTTATATCCCACAAACACAGTCAAGAGCTGGCTTAGAGACGGAAGTGTTAGGCATATTTAGACAGTATCTGACTTCACCCTGGGGTGGGGGAGCCCCTCTGTGCGGAGTTTGCATGGTCTCTCCATGTCAGCATTGGTTTTCTTCCTCCCACAGTCCAAAGACATGCAGGTTAATTGGTGACTCTAAATTGTCTGTAGATGTGAATGTGAGTGTGAATGGTTGTCTGTCTCTATGTGTCTGTGATAGTCTGGCAACCTGTCCAGGGTGTACCCTGCCTCTCGCCCAGTGTCAGCTGGGATAGGCTCCAGCCCCCTCGCAACCCGCAACAGGATAAGGGATTAGGAAAATGAATGAATGTATGAATTAAGGTTTACGTAGGTAGTGTTTTGTCAGATATAAATATAGATTAGTTATGTGCTGATCGAGTGACTGTCATCCCAACGTCAGGTCTCAGCAGTTTGACGTGCATTTCTTCTTCATGTGCTTCTTAACAGGTTGATGCGTAACTGGTGGAACAGCAGAAAAGGACGGCACAATCCTGAGAACCATTACAGCCGCTGGGAGCAGGACCACATCCTGCTGAACTTCAGCCAGCTGGGATTGTTTTATGAGTACCTGGAGATGGGTGAGATACTTCACTGACTTTGTTTACAATACAGAGATCAAGCTGAATGGCTGTTTGATGTATAAATGCTGTCTTCTTTTCTTTCCCTTTATTGCATTTCTCTGTTTTCCACTCTTTTTTGAATTGAATTTCCCCTCAGGGATTAATAAAGTATATCCTCTTTCTTCTTCTTCTTCTTCTCTCGTTTGGCTCTCTCTGTCATTTCAGTGGTCCAGTTTGGTTTCATCACTTTGTTTGTGGCCTCTTTCCCCTTGGCTCCGCTCCTGGCTCTGTGCAATAACATCTTGGAGATTAGGGTGGATGCCTGGAAGTTCACCACCCAGTTCAGGCGGCCGGTGGCATCCAAAGCCCGAAATATCGGAGCGTGGCAGGAAATCCTAAATGCAGTGGCCATTTTGTCTGTTGTTACCAACGTGAGTGTTGCAGTGTACAATGAGTTTGTCTGTCCATAACATTAAGTCAGTTTTTTTTGTCTAATGTGTGTTCATATCTGTATTTGCATGTATAATAAATGTGTGACATTTTTGGATAATTAATTGTAGCGATTTCACTGCAGACTTTTAAGTGAAAGTTTTTTGTGCTTTCTTCTGTCCCAGGCTTTCATAATGGCGTTCACCTCAGACATGATCCCCCGGATGGTCTTCCTGTATGCCTACGGTGAAGATTCCAGCATGAGAGGCTACGTTAACAACAGCCTGTCAGTATACAAGATCTCTCAGATACCTAAGCACAACATGCCAGAGGAAGGAGACAGCTGGTTTGATAACTCGACCGCCACCTGCAGGTATTAGAGCTTTCAGAGCTTGTTGTGCATCTGGCTTTAGATATTTTTCTTTTACATTTTTGAAGCGCTTCAGAACTGCACTAAAGTATTTATATATGAACAACAGGTCAAAAGGCTGTGTAATGTGATAGAGTTTGCTTGTAGTGAAATACTGACAGGCTCTTTAGTTGGCTTTTAAGTGACTTTCCGCTCATAGTGTTTTGTTTTATAGCCTGCCAGACTACTGTTTTGATTCAGTCTCATGGTGTTGTTTTCAACAAAAACACTCAACACAAACCCTTTGTACACTATGATATCAAACAAACAGTCAAAGTTAGCGACTAGCTGGTGAACCCACTGGAGAATTTAACGGCTAAAGGGTCAGATTTTTCTCTCAGGGGTTGCAAGAAATCAAAAACAGACAGGCTCTGGAGCCACATGTGGCACTTCCGCGCTTCTTCAGTGGCTCCCTGTGGCTTTGACATCAAGAAATCATATGGAAATAAATAATGGTTATTTTTTAACATTTTAATTTTCATCTATTATTGTTTTAGGCCTAAAAAATGATGCGCCTGGGGCATCGGTGGCTTAGTGGATAGAGCAGGCGCCCCATGTACAAGGCTGTTGCCGCAGCAGCCCGGGTTCAACTCCAGCCTGTGGCCCTTTGCTGCATGTCATTCCCTCTCTCTCTCTCCCCCTTTCACACTCAGCTTTCCTATCGATTACAGGCAAAAATGCCCCAAAAATATCTTCTACCAATATGTGCTTCAAACATCTATGACCTGGCACCTTTTCCTCCAAATTTTGCCAAACCTCATGAGGGGTGGGTGGCTAGTCAAGTTGCAGAGAAGAAAAGAGAATTTAATAGTGTTTGGACAGCTTTATTTGCTTTCATCGCCAACTCTGCAGAGTTAAACTTCCAAATAATCAGAAATAGCCCACCACATACTAAAAGGTATTAATGAATGCTCATTTAGACCTATTAGTGATGTTGATCAGCTAATTTGACTTGTGGTTTCAAAACGCGAACCCTGGTCTCCTAGGTCAAAGTCTTGTGTTTGTGTGTTTTACCCATCCATCACCCTGAACCTTCCTCCCTACTTCAACTTTGTTGCTCTTTATACCACGTGACCTGGGCTGCGTTGAGCAAAATGTAGCAAAATGGAGCAAAATGTTTATTTTAACAGAAACGCTGAACACCCTGTTATGTTACACAGGCACACTGCCTTTCAATACAATAGGCTTTCATTCAGTTAAATTCAGTTCAACCTAAAGGGTCTTTATCTCAGGAAAACATGTTTACATTGCTGAAAACCCAAATTGTATGTACAATACATAAAAATCTGCTATAATATGGTTTATATACAGGTAACTACAGACTGGGTAATACCTCTGACACACCCACCAAATGAGAGAAAACATAAATCAAATCCGGTTGCACATTTCGAGAAAACATCTTGTTTAACTTCCCCCTTTGTTCCAGTTCTGTGATGGAGGACAGCCTGCAGTGCATAGGTCAAGTGATCACAGCTTCGTGGCTCACGATTACATGGCTTATACACAACAGTGAATAAGAACAGCTTGGATATGTCAGTGTTGTATTTACAGCTTGTTTGCTGCGGTCAAGTGGATGGAAATAGAAGTTTTGTACGACAGCATGTTCGTCATTGTTGGGCAGAAAGATGCAACTTATTATCTGAATTAATCAAAAGTGTTTATATCTGTTGTTGGAGCTGTCAGTGGTTCTGTAGCATTTACTGATGAATACACTGGTATACATTTTTTTTAATGATCACATTAATGAAACATAACTGACTGTATGGTGGCCCTTTGCTTGTTGTGTTGTACAGATACCGTGACTACCGTTACCCTCCAGGCCATGAGAAGGAGTACACTCACACCATGCAGTTCTGGCACATCCTGGCAGCCAAAATGGCCTTCATTATCATCATGGAAGTAAGACATCGCAACTCTTCCTCACTCCTTAATCAATGAATAAATGCTCAGAATTAAAGGATTATATCTTGACCACGTGATAATTCTTTCTCCACAGCATGTAGTGTTTGTGGTGAAGTTCTTCGTGGCGTGGATGATCCCGGACGTCCCATCAGATGTGAAGGCTCGGATTAAACGAGAACGCTACCTGATTCAGGAGTACCTTCATAACTACGAGGTGGAGAGGCTAAAACTCCAGCTGAGTGCCAGTTTCATCACAGAGCCGCAGTCGGAAATGTCCTCGATGACAGACAGGCATGAAGTGCTGTCTGAGTGCCTGTAGCCTCCTGTGTTATACCTCCCAGCTAACCTAACCAAGAAGGGACGTGTCGGGGAGTTTTCTTCTCACTCAGAACATCCATATACAAGGGCTTCTGTCTTTGGGAGGAACAAACGCCATCATCTTTTCTTGCTGAATGGACTCCTATATTAGGATCTGTATAGAGACACTCAAATGCAACATTTCACTTTGCTTAAAGGAGCTCTATATGACATTCAGAGCATTAATATAGCAACAGGTATTTGCTTTGTAAAGATACAGTGGAATATATATGTTGAGAGAGTCTAGACGGTGGTGGTGCTGAGATGAAGAGGGTGCTGAAGAGCTGGATGTGATGGGGAGTGGACTTTTGATGAGCTCACTGGATATGATGAGTGGAGGTGGATGTGGTGAAGGAGGGCACGACGATTTGCTATGTAAAGACACAGTGGAGTAATGGCGTCCTGAGCATAGAGTGAAGTCACACTCCCTCTGTGTGTGTTGTAACTTGAGCTTCTCTGTTCTTTGTTGTGGTAGCTGGGCCAGCCACATGTGCACGTCGTTAGTCCCTGTGTGTGTATCCCACTGGTTAGCTAATGGCTGCCATTCTGAAATGCGCTTATACGGTGGTTACTGTAGAATGGCGTCGTCACAGAAGCATTTCTTAACATTAACACAGTAAGTTCTGTCAGCACTGTTGCAGTTGCTAGCACTCTTAGCACTGTTAGCACCTTTAGCTGCTAGCCGCCGGCTCAACCACCTCCATGTTGAGAACCGTGTGCAGACAATCCAGGCTCAGACTCAATCAGAAGAGACTAATTCTGAGTAAAACATGTGCACAAAAACATGAGAAATGCAAATAGCCTTTGGCGATTCGACACCATCTTGATGTCATATATCTGCTTTGGGAGGGTGTTGAAGCTGTAATAGCACTGGGAATCCCACCTATAGAGTCTAGACGCTGGTGGTGGTGAGACAAAGAGGGTGTTCAAGATCTGGATGTGATGAGGAGTGGACTTCTGATGAGCTCTACTTGTGCACTGGATATGATGATTGCAGGTGGATGTGATGAAGGAGGGCGTGATGATTCTGGCTAAAACGACAGCTGACAGCAGCAGAGATGAGAACAGATTTGAAGTTCATCAGCAGCAACATGATCAGCTGATTATGTCAAAATTTGATTGGTTTAACTGGAAAGGCGAACGCCCATAATCAGCTGATTGGAAGAAGCAAAGGAATAAGACAGTCTTAGTGACTGAAGTTAGATTGAGCTTCATATGTGCTCTGAATGTCGCATACAGCACTTTTAAAATCAGCATCTTGAGTGGATGAAAGGTTCCTGTGCCATAGTTGGAAAAGATTGTAACTGCAGCTCATATCATTCCCCATGTAATGTCTTCAACGTCTCCATCTGTCATGACTGAAAATAATCTCTGTACATGCTTTTAGTTCAAGATTGTGAAGTTGAATATGTGACATTAGGTGTAATTATGATGATATTATTAATCAGATTTTCTGCATGTGATTCTTCTGATGGGAACATGAAGGACTCAGCTGTTAAGGGATATATCGTATACATCACATATCCTCTATCTGTCATTTAACTATGAATGTAGACTTAATGGTAGCTACATAATGCTGAGTGTCACTGATCTGTAGCTGGGCTATGAGATTGTCAGCTGTGTTATGTGAGTGTGTCGTGTTTAGGGAAAGGCTCTTTAAAAAACTGTGCATTCGAAAAACCAAGTACCTCCATCATACTGCGGTCGTACTGTAACAATCACAAGTGTGTGTATCATTCCACCCTGAGCTGGTAATGTGGTGAGACAGCAGCTGCAGGCTCATGTCTCGTCTTCCAAGTGTATTTCCAACTTGCTGCGGGACCAATTATGGGATTTCAAGAGGAAAGACTACACGAGGAAAATCTCCTGACAGATTTTCTGTTTTAACACAATCAGTTTAGGGCGTTCACGTGTCGACTGTACTCCTTCTTGTGTCGCACGGGGTAATAAATGGGCTATATTTGTGTTTTCAGATTTCACATTATCAGTGTCTCGGCATAAACAAGTGTAACCTTCATTTCAGAGATAAACAGAGAGAAGAACTGCTTGTACCCTGGTGACGTGAGAGAGGATTTCAGTGAAGAGAAATGACTTTTATTAACCGCTTCATAGCTGGTTACAAAGTGTTGCTGTAGATATAAAGAATATATCATCTATTTGAAAGGGTTGTATTGCAAATAATTTATTGAGCTGCTTCTGCTCTGTAGCCTGAAGCTTTTGTATTTAGAGTGACTTCATAATCCGCTTTTAGAGATCTGTCTTACTACTCGCAACACCTGATTTCTTTTTATGTACTTTTCATCACCTCATGATCAAGCCATGTTAGTTCAGACAGCTCTTCAAGTACATTTTAGTCCAATAATGACTTTATCAAGGGACCAGACAAGTAAAAACTCCTGAGATAATATTTGTTACAGTAGATAAGTCATTTATAAAATACAGTACAGATTTTATATCTTAAGCTTAACATGCTTTAAGGGTTTTTCTGTGTTTGTATTGACACCTCTTTGTAATTAAATGATGCAGTTGTGATTCTGGCTGTCAGCAAATTATCTGACAGTCAAAAATGAACCATCTCAGGATTAAGCGTGCTGACGTATGTTGAGCTTCACGTGTTGATACAGTATGCAGATGTGTGCAGAGCGTGACCCTGCGACGCGCATGATGTACTTCCCGACTAACAAATGCCTTAAACCTCTGTGTTTACTTGTTTTTGTATGGTTTTGTAATGACCGAATTTCCTATCTGAATTCCAAGTCTGTTTCGTATCATTTGTTGCTGCTGCTACTGCTAGTCATCGCAAAGTAGCTGGTTTGTGCATGAATTGTTGTAAATATGTTGTCAGCTATGTTCTAAGTTTACTGTAGCCTATTGTACAGAAATGCTGAGCTGTTCATGTTCACAATAAACAAAGAAATAACCAGTTATAATGTGAGTTTTATTTGCACTTTGCCTACACAACAACACAAAACCAGAGAAGAAGAAACAGAGATATGAAAGGCCATGTCAAGACTGTGGAGCTTTTTCCCTCTAGCTATGTGACATATGAAAATACTCTGCTCCAAATGATAAGTCTAATAAGTTTTTTGCCACAAAAAAGTTCAGTAAACTTATTACAAATCCTTCTTCTCCATTACTGAAAAATGCACAATTTATTAATATGTATATTGTTCAACTACTGGACACTAGATGTCGCCATCGACACTGTAAAATCTACTCTCAGTATTTCCAAAACCACATTTGTCTAAGTTGAGAATGGACTACTTGTTGCAATGTCACAAAATGTTATCTCAAAATCTCATATGTTAGGGTGCACAGTAGCTCAATGGGTAGAGCGGGTGTCCCATGTACAAAGGTAATGTCCTTGGCTGGGTGTTTGATTCCAGCCCTCGGCCCTTTTCTGCATGACATCCCCTCTTTCTCCCCGTTTCATGCTTAACTTGTTCAATAAAGGCAAATAATATATATTTATAATCTTTAAAAAAAATTCATATGTACTTGCCGTCTTTAACTGAGATTTAAAGAGATAGTTTGTTTTTGAAGTGGGGTTGTATGAGGTACTTGTCCATAGTCAGTGTATTGCATACACTAGTTGTTAGTTGTCACACCCCCAGTTTGGAGAAGCAGCAGGAGTACTGACATTGAAGCTAAGCAATGCACTACTGTGGACAGGGGCAGCAGCAAAACATATTTCAGCCACCTAAAAAAAGTCATACCTAAAGGAAATATAACAGTTTAAGTGCACACTTTATTGAGAATATTTCACCCCTTTACTTTTGTATCAGAGAGTCTGTTCTGACAGGGAAGCTGTTAACTGCTTTAGTTCCCCATCCATGCACTTATCAAAGCCACCAGACTCCACTGACACTCATTTTGGCTCACTGATCACTGGAGCTGCAGGTCTGCCTCTGCCTTGATCACTCAGTTATAGTTAATTTGTGTTATTGTGTGACTTTGTGGAAACCAAACTAACTAAACACCAAAGTCACACAATAACAAAACTGACTGAAGCAGCGGTACACCAGCAACTCCTGTTTTCAGCTATGTTTAATCATTGTTTTTCTCAGTGGAGTCTGGCTCTGAAGACAGCGATATAACAGCTTCAGTTCTCTGTCGGACATTGCACAAGATGGCAAAGTAAAGCAGTCCCAGCTGACTCATGACCGACCTTTAAAGCTGAAATGTGGTTGAAATTATGTCAGTTGTTGTTTCAACATTAAAACACTGTTTAACTCTGATGGTTGTGAAAAGGTTTTAAAAAATTCTCATAAATCAACACTGAAATTTCACAAAGATCTGTTTCAATGTTGAAACAATTTTGAAACGGCTAAAGATTTTGAAACAACATTGTAAAATCAGTGGTGATCCATCTTTCAAAATCAAAACATAGTTCAACAGTGATTCAGCCGTGGTGTGTGGCGTTGATTCAACAGTGAATAAACATCAGACGACCAGCTGGGGTGAAAATATTCTGAATATAGCGTATACTTAAACTGATATAGATTTTATGGGGCTGGACTTTATAGGTGGCTAAAATACATTCTGTTGCTGACCCTGTCCACACCACTACATTAGCTTCCGTGTCAGACTCATGCCTGCTTCTCCAAACTGGGGGCGTGCCAACTGACATCCACTGTAAACAATACACTGACCTTTGATAAGTATCTCATACAACCCCACTTCAGAAGAAGTGAAACTGAGCACACAAGCTTTCTTGCTTCAGCAGATGAATGTGGAAACCAGTGGCGTAAGGTAGTTAGGACGGACCCCGGTGCACGCTGTTAAGATGGCCCGATAGTGTACACTATTGTGCACATGATCAAAGACTTGACATCTGATAACATCAACCTACATATTAACCAGCAATCATCATTTAATATCTGTAAATTACAAAAATACCAAATAAAATATATGTCGGAGATGGGTTTGTCTTTTTTAAAGGCACATATAGCGAATGGCACTGTTTTTAATTTAATGAGTTCTTTTTTGGAAACAGGCATATCTCCAAGATGGTGATCACTCATAAGGGCCCATTCTCTGGCCAACACATTGTTTGAGGGCCAACTCCTTCTATGGGCCCCCCCCCACCTCACGCCCCGGTGCAACTGCCTGCACTGTCTATATTTACGCCCCTCGTGGAAACAGCCATCTAGTGTCAAACTCTGCACAGACGTCACTCTGTACAGAGAACCTCAAACATCCAAGAAAGTAACAGCAAGCAAAAACCCAATTCTGAGTGTAGAAAAAATCTAAATTATCATGTAAAACTAAGTAAAAGAATATTATACAGTACAACTATTCCTGCAGGATGTGAGAGCAGGCTGCAGTACCATAAGTGGCCACCAGATGGTGCACCATACCAACAAATGAAGAGAGAGACACTTCTCGCCTTTCTCTTCTCTCTTTTGTCCTCTAATCGCACATCTAGGATCTGTATCTTACTATTTTATAATTAATAGTGGTAGTAGCAGTAGGAGGAGGAGGCCCAGTAGCCTATTAAAATTATTGCTGTTATTATTTTTATTGTCATCCCCATTATTATTATTTGCATCAGTAGTTGTGCCCTATTATTTGGCTGTATTTGGCCTGCAGATGAATGGTTATCACATGACATATCTCTGAAATCTCATCAAATATACACACGCAAAAACGCTTCCAAAATTTTGTGCATGTTTCAGTGGGAAGATGTGGCTGTCGGGGGGGATGAAAGTAGGCTTGAATTATTGATGGATTCCTACGTTGAGCAGAGGAGCTTGTTGGAGGGGGGAATCCACTCCTGCTCATTTGGTTTCCATAGCACCGCCCTCGGGAGAGCTGCAGCTCTCATACATGGGGTTGACTGTCCTTGTTTTTGTTTTTTTTAAAAAATATATATTTTTACGCATATAAACGCCAAATTAAAAAACAAAAGAATCGAAATATTTAAAGTTGTGTTATTTGTCACATTATTCAGGCTGTGACATACAGTGAAGACTTGAGCTATGAAAACATTTCCCCCTCTTCCCCCAGTGTTTTATGGACTGACTAACATAGACAGACTCATATATATGCATTAGCATGTTATATTTGACTCAGGCCTTCATGTGTGCAGAGCAGCTGGCCAGATGTTGGACGCGGAGCTGCTGTCACTGACCTCGGTGCTGAACACGACGTCAGATGAACCTGCGCGCACCACAGGAGACACGATACAGCCTCACTCCCTCTTTGATTTATTGAAGCTACTCTAAACACCCACTTTTGCTTTCTAAACTTTGATCTTTTTTATTTTCCCGTCCCTTCTCTTTCTCTCACACACATACACACTCTCTCTTTTTTTTTTTTTTTTTACTCCGGACAAATCCACAACAGATGCACAACGCTGGCTATCAATTTCACTCCTTTTCGTTTTCCGTCGTGATGGCACTTGGCGCGGCTACTGTACGCCAGGCAGGAGATGAGCTGGTGGTGGATGAAGGCGCACAGATCGTTTGATTCCTCCTCCTTTTTTCTCGCTTTAGCGCTTTCATTGTGAAAATTAGACTCGTCTTCCGGACCGTCGCCTCCCCTGGATTCAGATTTATCACAACTTGTGTTTGTTGTTTTCCTCGCAGCCGCTGCAGTCGGCCATCCTGCGCCGTAACATGACGATTAAGCAGTAGAAATAAAAACAGTGAGAAACAGGCCCTACACATAGAAACTGGATATGGCATCCGTGAGGACGAAAGCCACGGAATTTGCGGGGAAGACCCTGGGTCATATGTACAGGTAAGGACAGGCATTTTCTTTTCTTTTTTTCTTTTTTTTTCTCCATCCTGATTTGCGCGCGTGCCAAATTTCCTCGCGGGAAAGTGTGATTATTTTGCATGCTTGATTTTAAACCAGACACGAGTCAGGGAGGCGTGGAGGTCCTGCAGGTCAACCAAAACTGTTTTACAACTTACTGGGATCTGTAGTCACGCCTCTAGAAGTGAGAAGAAAATTATGCAATCAAATGCGCGCGCGCGCGTGTGTGTGTGTGTGTGTGGTGACAGCAGGAGGGGGTTTGGATGAACCTAGATGCCACTGGATGGAAGCATGCACGCACTCAGTTGGTCCTGATGCAGGGGCCTGTGCGTGAATCTCATTAGCAGACAGGTTATACAGGACGTGCAGGCCACGAGCGATTTTTGTGTGTGTGTGTGTGTGTGTGTGGGGGGGCTGTGGGGGGGGGGGGGGGAATAAAAAGGGTTTGCTGAATCATTCATAATTTATAATGCATTTCATATTATCCTTTTACACCAGTGAGGCACGCACAATGATAACCCTGCTGCGTGTCGTATTATTTTAAAAAGCATCACGTTTTCACAAGTGGTTTCTCTCTCAGACATCTCCAGCTATATTTAGATGATTCCCCTGTGTCCTTCAGAAATTTGGGGGCATTCCTGTGCTTTGTTTATCACAATCACAGGTAGAAATACAGTGAAACCACGTGCGTATTTATTGCAGCTCTGCAGAGGTTTAATTTTTGTGATTTTTCATAAAACGCAGCTGTGTATTTTCTCTGAGGCCTCTGATTCCTGTGCATCAATTTGCATTTTATTCGATTATTTTGGCGTCATCATTAATTAGCTCTGGTGCTTTCCATCCATTTGGAGACACGTGTATTTTAATGTTTCGATTCAGAATCCTGGTTTTGGATTTGTGACTACTGAATGTGACTTTCCTGGTAAATAAAAAAATAAAAAATAAAAGGAGGGGACTTTGAGGAATGCCCACAGACGTGTGTGTGTCTGCAGGCTGGAGCTGCTGCTCGGTCCCGTGAATGCTAATGAGTGTGAAAGTGAGCGGGGCTGCTGCAATGCGGTACAGTCAGGGACATGTTCGCGTGGTTTGGGCTCCACAGGCGAACTTTGTTTGCTTTTTTCCTTATCATATTATTGCCATAGACACAAACACAGCAGGAGGTGTTTGCTTTTAATCTGCTGCTCATGTCTTATAGCTTGAACCTCACATGTGATGCTCCTTATAGTGGAGGAGGAGAATACAGTATGGAGGCCTCTCCTCCTGTGCATTCATTTTATTGTGGGGATTCTGGGAGAGCTGGCTTCTGCTTTTTCATCACTGACACACCAAAAAATTCTCACACAGACACACAAAGCACCCAATCCTTAATGAAATATTCACACAAATATAGAAATAAAAAATGTCCTCCTTAGAAATATGTTCCACTACAGGATTGATTTTTGGAGTGCATCATCTTGTGTGATGATATTTAATCAGAGGGTGCAGCTTGCTATAGTCATTGTCCTCACCTTGCAGGGTGATAGAGAGGAAACAGAAAACCGGGGAGGTGATCGAGCTGACGGAGGATGGGCGGCCCCGGGAGGCCGCGGAGAAGAAACCCCCGCTGTGCGACTGCAAGTGCTTCGGTCTGCCCCGCCGCTACATCATCGCCATCATGAGCGGCCTGGGCTTCTGCATCTCCTTCGGTATCCGGTGTAACCTGGGCGTGGCCATAGTGGGCATGGTCAACAACAGCACCATCCACCAGAACGGCAAGATCATCATCAAAGAGGTGTGGCGACATGCTGACGTCAAAAACAACGTAGACTGCATGCCTCGAGACACCTGACTGATATTTTAACAGAATAAGAAAGACAGAAAGAGGAACATTAATTTCTCTACAACACAAGCCACAGAATAATAAGGCCTTCTGTCATATTAATCCATAAAACCCCTTTAATCAGCCCCCAATAATCACTGATGAGCTTTTTTATTTAAATTAAATTGGATATTTGTGCGTAAAATCCTTTAACATGCCTACAATATTTTAAAACGTACCCAAATCAATAATGCGCCACAGAGATGGAACTGTTTTATAATGGCAGCCAGCTTTTAAAGCTTTTATAACATCATCTTTAGGTATTATATGATGCCGTTTTAAAAGCATATCATGCATATCTGCTGCGTAAAAAGCTGAATTCATGTTGACGTCATTCTGAAATACACATTTCCTTTATAGCCTTTATTTGCGTAAAAGATAAATAAACCAAAAGATACATATATTTTTTAAAAAATATGTCACATTAAATGAATTTACAGCAGGTTGTTTATATATATAAATCTCAATTTAGGTGAAATTGAGGCCTAATTTTGTGCTTTTGCGTTCCAGCCAAATATTAACCAAATAATTTAATCACAAATTTACCTCCACACATGTTCTCAGTGCTTTTTGTTTGCCAGTGCAGGACACACCAGTGATTTTAGTGCACAGATCAATGTCTTGTGATCGAAATAAAGCGTTGCAGGCCTTTAATAAACAGGCCTGGCTTTGGATCAATGCATCCACAGAATATTGTTTCGTTTGTTTCTTGCTTTATAGTCTAAACATGTTCATCAGAGGTTATTAAATACTGCTCAACTTCAGTGTTTTTTTGCTTACTGGTTTTGTTTTTCCATATTGCCTCCCAGAAAGCCAAGTTCAACTGGGATCCAGAGACAGTGGGAATGATCCACGGATCTTTTTTCTGGGGCTACATCGTTACACAAATCCCGGGAGGATACATATCCTCCAGGCTGGCAGCGAACAGGTAGGCGGCACTCCCCGTGAATCACCATAAATACAACACACTCGGCTGATGAATCATTATGGTATTAAAAAAAAAATCATATGTGGGCCAATTAAACGAAATGACTGAACAGTTGGCGTGACTCTCTCTCTTCCTCTCACTCTCACTCTCCATTGTTTGTTATTTTTAAAATACGTAGGAAACGAAAATGAACACATGGGCACTGGAATAAATTCAGACAATTAAAAAAACGCAGCCAAGGCCTGAAATTAGAAATAAAAAAACATGGCGTCATTCTTGCTTGAATTATGAATTGGATGAAGAGTCCACAGTCACAGGCTGAGTGTCAGTGCATGAAAACAGCAGTAGCAGCAGACAGTCAGCTGCTCTGAAGTGATGCAGAGCTGCAGGGAGGGCACCGGGCTGGCAGGCCTGCAGCTCCTGGTGTCAGGGCTCTCTGCCACCTGTTAATGAGCTCCCTGGGGGGAGCCGGGTCTAATCTGTCGCTCTCTCAGGGCATGGAGACCAGACCCTGTCCTCACGCCAAAGGCTTTAATTCACATGAGCACTGCCAAAGCGTCACCATGATTATTACAAACACTATAGGCTATAATATAATAATATAAAAGATGCAGGTTTTTATTGATTGCGTGTTGATATGCAGGTTGCCATGGATATAAAATGCTAATTGTGTCATTACTGGTGACACCACTGTAAAGGCAAAATAGTTCCGCTTAAAAATCGCTTTAGAAATTAAGGTTTTGACAATAAAAGTCGAACAAAAAAGCCAAATATTGACAAAATGGCTACTAATTATTATATTTATTGTTATTTAAAGGCAGCTAAAATTATAGTTCCATACATACAGATTAATTTTTTTTTTTTTGTTTGACCGCTGCTCTTTGTCTTGATATTTTTATTTCCCTTTTATTGTCTGCTCCTCGTCCCGTTGATTGACACGAGCGTGTAATCGAATCAATTGGTCTCATGCCCAACAGTAGTCTCGCCCGGATTAGGGCTTGCCCCCCCCCGCGTGCACATGAGAGGGGCGGGAAAACGTGACATAAATGAGAAATAGCACGGTGGTAATGGATGGCCTGGCCCTCCCTGCGCGAGATCTCACCTGCTCAGCTGCTCCCTCGCGCTAAGAAACGATGTTAAAGAAAATGTTTCCACCAAAAGAATAGAAAGAATTTTATTGTTTATTTTTCAACAACCCTAAAATATGAGCTTTGTAACCAGTCACAGCCTCATTTGGTTAAATGATTAGCAAAGACAGGCCCACACAAATGAAAAAAAAATCTAGTGATGATAAATCTTCTTTAATTCAATGTCAAATTAAAATTAAATGTCACTTTGCATGACAAACACAGTTATTGAAACAGTAGCCCAGCATAAGTAATAATGGTTGCTAGGCGACACACTGTGCTGGTGTGACAGAGCGGTGCTCCTGGAAATTTTTATTTCCGTGACGCCAGAAGAGCGCGTGAGGCGCAGGACCAATCAGAGCAGAGCTGCGTGCTCTTATTGGCAGCAATAAATAATCATAATCTTAAATGTTTTTCAAATGTGGCACATTTCTGTTCTGTCCAAACGCAGATTGAGACAAAGAGACGTTTAATGGCCTTTTATGTGGCCTAAAATATGAATCAGTGTTTTTCCATGAGAGATTATTTGTAATTAAAAAATCTTGAGGCCAATATTATTTTCTTCCTAAACAAAAATAAAGGCATATTTCATCTGCTGTGATAATTCATTGCTCTACTCCTTACATTCAGTTCAGCTGCCATATATATATAAAATGCTGTTTTTAAAAAGCATGTTATTATTTTCAGGGTATTTGGTGCAGCCATTGTGCTAACCTCAACTCTCAACATGTTCATTCCCTCGGCTGCCCGAGTCCACTATGGGTGTGTCATCTTTGTCAGGATATTACAAGGGTTGGTGGAGGTAAGAGCATGTTGTCATCTAAATATTTTAAATCTTTATGTCCTTTAATGAGAATCCTTGATGGATTTTTCCACAAATAAAAGCCTGCATTAACAGAATATAAAAGCTACACATGTGATGTGAGTTTCTGTTATCATGGCTGTCACTATCTGAGGATTTGCAACCCAAGTGGGCTTCCTGCACATGTCACTCCCTCAGAAAGCAGAGAAAAGACTGTAACATGCACAGGATATTCAGACAGGAAATGCGAGAGGAGCTGTATTGATCCAGTCCACTACAGCTGAGTGTTTGTGGGATAGTCCAGCTTCCTATTATGCTGTCACACTTTGTATCCTGGATACACAACAACAAAGTGCTGGTTTACAGAGAGATGCAAAGCAAAATGCTGACAGACAAACACACATCAATCCTCTGGCTTCATAGTGAAAAATGACACCCAGGTATCCACCTGCTGTGTTGCTGATGGTGACGAAATTTGTCTGTTATAGTGCAAAATATATGCATACGTGATGTTTTAACACAGGAGGATGTCTGGCTGAGGATTCATTTTTTTGGACAAATGGTATCAAATACTTTGTCATGATGGCAGATAAGTAGCCTTGAATCACACACCATGCTGCAACGCATCTTTATTAAAGGCTAAATGACAGATTTGATCAATTGTGTGTCAAATAATCAAAACCAATCTATGTTACAACACACTGGACTGCTCTCTTAAGAAAGTCCATGCAGACTGTATTTTACGTCAGCACAATTTGTTCAAATTAGTAGCTGATGAACATTTAATAGCTGCAGGGCTGCTTTGCTCCATGAACAGCTCATCAGCTCCTCTTTTCTCATGGCACCGTAGCAATTTGCTCATGGTAATTACAAAGGTGAAAATGTTAATTTTTGTTGGTTATTATATCAGACATCTGTTGGTTTAGATTTGTATCTAAAAGGGTATTCCCTCACTGTTAAACTCAAATAATCCAGAATTTAATGTGAAGCATTATAGTGTTTAAAATGGATGTAGAAGATGGTTTTGTTTCTAATATGGATTTTGAGATTATTATTTACTGAAACAACACTGTGTTGGATCCATCAAAAATAGGTACAAACCAATGCTTATAATTTGTTTACTGCACAAACTTAAACATTTACCAAAATGCTAAAAATGGCTGACATGGAGCGTAGACTACTTTCATACATTTCCCCCAAAAATGGATCAGGAGGCCTCAAAATAATGAGCTAAAGAACATGGAGTCCCAGTCTGCTGCTAACTGGTTTTACATGTTGCTTCGCCATGAGTTAACACAGATTGTTGGTGTGTGTAGTGTTTAGGGAGTGACCTACCCGGCCTGTCATGGCATCTGGAGTAAGTGGGCTCCTCCGCTGGAAAGGAGTCGTCTGGCCACCCTGTCGTTCTGTGGTAAATACTTCTTTCTTAATTTCTCCTATTGGCATTTATACATTTGGTTCAGAAGTGATGTACTGCATATTACTGAATTACACAAAGGGATACTTTGCTGATTTTAAGCCATCTTTATATCAGAACATTGTGGGTAGTTTGTGTAAATGGCATGTGATAAACTTCCCTACGTCATACTAGTGCCCAGATCTCCAAGCTCATCCCCCAGTGAAAATCATTTTGCGTCATCCACTGGATGATCCAACAGATTTTTGCTCGATCTTGCCATTTGTACAATGATAGAGTGATGCAGGAACGAGGCCTAAAACCCAGAAATGAGTTGCTTCCCTCATTTTAAAGTATTTGTGTCTTGTAAATGGGGTTTTAGATTAGATGCCTGAAATAAGTTCTGCTTAAAAGAGTTTTACATTTTGTTCCATGGCATAAAATACATCCGTAAATACCCTACTTGAAAATTTTTAAGCGTTTAGCTGTCTTAAAAGATTTGGTTGCTAACAAGTGGTTATATGAGACTACAAAACATCATCATACCAACCATGATATTACAGCCTTGTTTTGGTGGCAACGTTGTCATGCAACCATAGTGTAGTTCCTTTACAGCATAACGCTAGCTTTTTTCCAAGCTGGCTTCCAAACCCATAAAAGTGGTGGTCATTTGTGAAAATTATCTTGCTGAACAAAATGTGTAAGTATTATAAACCTTTGTTCGCTACAGAGCTTTTTTCTGCAAGAATCCAAAATCCAATGGAAGAATCCTTTCCGCTTTTTTGAAAAGGGAACCTAATTTCCGCATCGGCCTACAAACAAACGTCATCCCTGCAGCACTCTATAGGCTGTTGTTCAAACTACAGATTGTACTCATGCTTTTTGTGTACCTGCAACCACAAACACAAGAAGTATAAAAGCAGATCAAGAGAGACCTGCCCCTCTGTCTCTCTCCAACCAAACTCCGATCAAACAGTTAAACTACAACGCAATTTCGAATATAAACCAAGATTGTGTTGCTATTTTGCCTATTTCTGGCCTAAAATGTTTTGGAAACATATTTTTTACTTACTGTTAAACTATAATTTGAGATTGTCTAGCCTCGAATTACATCACCCACCAACTGGAGACTTTATTGGTCCAGTGCAGCGCAGTGCATTTTGGTAGTTGTAGATTTTCTACCTCTGGAGCAAAAGCAAATGCTGCAACCCTTTTTCTCTGTTTTCTCTGGTCAGGTAGCACCAATTTCAAAATGTGAAGAGACCAGCTTTCCAGCAGTGAAATACCTCCTAAAGTAGTCTGACTTATCCCTTGTCTCACTGTCTGTCAGGCTCTTATGCTGGTGCTGTGATAGCGATGCCTCTGGCTGGGATCCTGGTTCAGTATTCAGGCTGGTCCTCAGTGTTCTATGTCTATGGTAAGATTGATGGGTGATGCATGTGTGTGTGTGTGTGTGTGTGTGTGTGTGTGTGTGTGTGTGTGTATGTCATTGCACAAGTGAATATGAGATGAGGTGAAATTCTGTGGTGACTTAATGACACCAAAGAGCGGATATATGTGTGGAAATCTGTTTGGCTGAAGTGTTTTTAAGCTTGGTTGAAAGCTCGAGAGTTTAACACTCAGAGAGTCCAGTGAAAGTCAAATGGATTTATCCAGGCAGACTGCGTATTGATTTCCTCCCCCCGATGTTTTGGTGTGTCAATAAATAAGCCCCCATGTTTCTCTCTTGACTGGATACAGTTAGCTTTCCTGTCTGGGTTTTATTCTCTCAGGCATTTTGGAGGGATCAGACTGCCAAACGCTGTGTGTGTGTGTGTGTGTGTGTGTGTGTGTGTGTGTGTGTGTGTGTGTGTGTGTACCTACTGCTGAGGTCAAAATTAGCTGCAGTACTTCATCTGTAATTATCTTAAGTTCTAACATGTAATCTATCTGTGATACGCAGGATGCTTCGGCATTTTCTGGTATATGTTCTGGATCCTTGTGTCTTATGAAAGCCCTGCTGTACATCCGACCATCACTGATGAGGAACGCTGCTACATTGAGGAGAGCATTGGAGAGAGCGCCAAGCTGGCCGGTCCTGCTGAGGTAAGGACAACAATAAATATAATTTACTCAACACAGCACTCTTTGTCTTCAGTTCTTTGTGTTGAAGAGGGCGTTATAAGTACCAACACAACACCAAGCTTTCACTAGCCTTCACCTATCAAACATGTATTATCATGTGTAAAATTAATCTTATGTGATGATCTGTTCCAGAAATTCAAGACCCCCTGGAGGAAGTTCTTCACCTCTATGCCTGTCTATGCAATCATCGTGGCCAACTTCTGCAGGAGCTGGACGTTTTACCTGCTGCTGATTAGCCAGCCTGCATACTTTGAGGAAGTCTTTGGCTTTGAGATAAGCAAGGTGAGCTTACAGTGCACGTCAGTGGACAAGTGACAAAGATGGAGCATGAATTGAGTGATCAAAGTAATGGATTCAAATGCGATGGAAAAAAACAACAGCAGTGCCAGATGTTTTAGAGTTGAGCATGTGATACTTTGTTCCTGGAATGATTCAATATCAAAATCAGTGTCAGTGCAACTGGTGGCCTGCTGGTCTCTCTCATGTACTGATACGTTATAAAACAACAAAGGACACAAACAATTGTCAGAGTGACTGCTATCACAAAGTCTTTGATACTGATTTTTAAGGAGTAAAAAGGCAGGTAAGTAGCCACAGAATAAATTATTAATATGCAATAAAATAAAAGGAATGTAGCTGTAGTTGTAACTGCAACATAATTAACATTATTCTAATTTTTATGGAATAAAAGGTCCAGTGTGTAAGATTCAGGGAGATTTAGTGGCATCTAGTGGTGAGGTTTGCAGATTGCAACCAGCTGAAACTTCTCCTGGTTAGATTTTTATCAGTGTTTATTGTTCAGGAGGTTTTTCATAGGGAGCTGAATTATCTGCAGAGGTCTCCTCCTCTTCAAAACAAATGGATCAGGTCATTTAAACCAGTTCCCGTTCCCCCCTGACACTGCCAGGCACCGTTAAACTATAACAGCAACCTTTTTTTGTTGGTTTCTGACGCCGCAAGTCACTGCCCAAGCGTCGGATTTCAATGACTTTGAAGTGAGACTGGGCTCAAAGAAAACTTATATTCCACTTCTGTCAGTATATCCCCCTAAATGCTATATACTGGACCTTTTAAATATTCAATGACTAAATAAAAAAACAATCAAAGTTAAAGTTTAGGTGGAAACATCTTGAGTTATTATTAACTGAAACACAAAAAATCAGAAACTCAGCTAATCTCTCCCTATTCATTGTACGATGCACTACATTTACCCTCTATGTAAATGTATCCACTGTAGTGCTCCCAGAAATTCAGACAATGGAACAGACAAATCAGTGTCCATGGCAACAATCCCACAATGCAATTCACCGCATCTTAAAGATGAAAAAAAAATGTCATTGGCAGTGATGATACTTAATAATAATGTTTTCCTCATGAATTTATTGTGCTATTCTAATTTACTTAGCTGATTTGTTTTATTGTCTGCACATGGTTGTAGGTTGGCATACTGTCTGCCCTGCCACATTTGGTGATGACTATCATCGTGCCCATCGGTGGCCAGCTGGCCGACTACCTACGCAGCAAGAACATCCTGTCGACTACCACTGTCAGGAAAATCATGAACTGTGGAGGTGAGAAGTCTGAACTGAGGATGAAATAGCACTTTCCGCACCTCGCTCTGCACAGCCACCGGGTGTTATTTTCATGGTGTTAGATCCATACTGCTCTTTTTTTCTGGCTGCTCTACACTGCCAGAGAGATGGTTGTGTTTATATTTTTGTAAAATCTATCTGTTCAATACTTAGTTGACTCGCTGATTGTGACTGTGCATTGATTTCATATCTGTCACTTATGTAATTGAGTGCAGGCCATGTATCATGCTTAATTCAATTGGCACTGCGATGACCAACAGCCCACGGGCTTTGTGTGTTTCTGTGTGTGTGTGTGTGTGTGTGTGTGTGTGACCTGCTGTCTGTCTCTGTCAGGATTTGGCATGGAGGCCACATTGCTGCTGGTGGTAGGATATTCCCACAGCAAAGGGGTGGCCATCTCCTTCCTGGTGCTGGCAGTGGGCTTCAGTGGATTTGCTATATCAGGTTAGTACAAGTAAAACACACTTTGTGCTCAATTAGAATGTTATCTGTATACAATTTAGGACCACTGTAGAGGAGTTGTTTTACTGGATCCCATGTAGTGTGGCTTTGTATAGTTTTCACAGTATAAGAACCGATGGATTTGGGGAGTCTAAGAGAATGCTAATAAGCCGCATTGGTAAAGGGTATATATTCACAACAACAGCTGTTCATGTATCTGTACTGTTACATACATCCTTAATGTACAGTTACGTAATTAGCAAAAAGTTACAAAGGTTCAGTTTAGGAAAAGAAACTTGGCAAGGGCATACCTTAAAATGCCCCAGAGTTCACTCAAAGTTCACACAGTTCCAAACACACATCTCCGGGGGTAAGTCCTTGGTGAAGGTCTGTGTTACCAAACTTACCTCTTAACAAGAGCGCTGAGGACTTTGTCCTTGTTCACTCCTGTCACTGCATTGGTCGTGTGATCGCAGCCTTTCAAAATACATGGAATATGCACAAATTTGGGGGCATAGCTTTTTGTAAGGAAACATACAAATAGTTTATAAGAATAGCCTGAATAAAACGAAATCCTAAAATATCAGTACAGATGATGTTATGGACAAGGATACACTTAACAGTGTTTTGACTGACTCGGATATTCAGCCATATTTATTTGAGCCATGCAGCAAAGAGAGATCAAAGCTGCGGTTGCATGAGATGTGCAAGAGGTTATGGCCAGCAGGGACCCTCCAGAACCTGAGCTACCAATAGTGGTGCATTTGCTCAAATTGCCCAACAGAAATGTAATCACTAGGCTGCAATGAATTTCAGCCTAGGCTGTTTTTGTTGGACACTGTTGCCAAATGCCAACCCAGAGACACTCCCTGTGTGTGTGTAACTATGCATGAAAGTTTTGCTCCCCACTTGGACAAAAGGGTCCTGGAAACTGTTTCAAGGTATTGAGGATAAACTGGAAAAGACAACCAAGACCAGCAAGGCCAAGAGGGCAGATGGCCATTGAGTGAGGACTTTTGTCACCTTACACCACAAAGTAATAGCTATGGACTAAGGTGGTAATACAAAGGAACATTGCGCTCCATGAGCAGAACTCACCTTTCTCGGTCAACATAGCATGCACAGGAATTTCTGCCTCAGTTGACTACATTTACCATCAACACTGATTGGACATCCAAATAAAAAGTGGCAAGTACAAGGAACACTATGACATTGTTGGGAAATAAGCATGTTTGCTTACTTGCTGAGCGTTAGATGAGAAGCTACACGCAGAAGGTTAGGGTAGCTTGGCATAAAGACAGGAAAAAGGTATCTCTCTCCAAAGGTAACAAAATCTACCTACCAGCATCTCTAAAGCACATAAATTAACATGTTATTGCTCCTTTATTTATATAATACAAAACCATCCATCCATTTTCAACTGCTTATCCAAAGCCGGGTTGCAGGGGCAGCAGGCTGAGCAAAGTATTCCAAATGTCCCTTTACCCAGCAACGCTTTAAAGCTTCTTCTGGGGGACTCCAAAGCTCTCCAAGGCCAGACAAGATATGTAATACTCTCACTCATGAACAAGACCCCAAGAACTCCCTCACTTGGGGCAGTAACTTACTCCCAATCTGGAGGGGGCAATCCACCATTTTCTGGTGGAGAGCCATGGCCTTAGACTTGAAGCTGCTGACTCTGCCGACCGCTTTACACTCAGCTGCAAACCGCCCCAGTGCACCCTGGAGGTCACGGTGTAATGACGCCAACAGAACCACATCATCTGCAAAAGGCAGAGATGCACTTCTGAGGTCACCACTCCAGACCTCTTCCACCGCCCGGCTACACCTTGAGATCAAAACCCAAGTGTTATAATGACAAGTTGTGGGCTTATGGGAAGTTAAATGTTGGACTGTTTCTTAGCTAAGAGCAGTGATCTTAGACAGAATCAGGCTAGCTGTTTCCCACTGTTTCCACTCTTTATGCTAAGCTAAGCTAACTGTCTCCTGGCAGTAGCTTCATATACACTCAAAAAACATGACAGTGGTATCAATCTTGCCATCTTTCTCTTAGCAATGATCAGCTACTGTATATCTGAGATGCTGCATCATTGTAGTTGTTCTTTATTTGGTAATTTAGTCATTCTTATTTGACCACTGTCTCTTGTCTCAAGCACAGAATTTTAAATGATGATCCAAATTGTGTTGCCTTGTTAAGGATTCTGTACAATCTGAGCATGTAGACGTGGTGAACATGAACCTAAACTAGATCTCTTTGATGATATCACTGGGTAGTTGGGAAATGTGTAAACATCCCAAACAGTGGTTTGTGTGCAGCTGTTTGGTAATATGATGTTGCATATACATGTAGAACAGTGTTCTCCTTTAAATTGTATTTTCAACACCCAAAGAACTCCAACGCTGAGCTCAATCACCATCATATTTTAGATGTTATTTGTAACACATTTTCACTGACTGGCAAAATGAACCCTTTCAGCTTTATTCAATCATTCATTCAACAGATCTTTTCATGTTTATGCTCAGAAGATGCAGAGAGCTGTGACTGTGTGCAAAATCAGTTTCTTGCCTGTTGTTCTTGAGCTTTCTCCTGGAGTGTTTAATAATTCAGTGCTAGCTGTCTCGGGGGATTTGCCAGGCAGGCAGTGTGAGGCAGATCGCGAGGACACTTACTCATTCAGCCAGTCAGAGTGGGGGAGGAGGAGGATGTGTGGCGAGTTGCTGCCTATTTCTGCAACAAGATGGTCACCATTTGTGCTGCTTTTATCTACAACTGTGTCCTGCTTCTGTTGCTTTTACTACTTGTTACATACTGTGATAGTGTCTGCCTCAATTTGGCCTTTAAATCTGGTTGTCTGGCGATGTCATAATTCACAACTGTAAGATTTATCAACAATATGTTCATTTTATGTTTTTTTTTTTATTTTTTGTTTTCCTCCGTCAGGCTTTAATGTCAATCACTTGGACATCGCTCCACGCTACGCCAGTATCTTAATGGGAATCTCTAATGGTGTGGGTACCCTGTCTGGGATGGTGTGCCCACTGATTGTTGGTACCATGACAAAGAACAAGGTAAGGGCTTCAAAAATGGCAGTAATAAAGATCTTCTCATTTCATGTGCAGTGGCAGTGCCAAGGAACAGCTGTGAGGTCCATGGCCACCCTCATACAATCGTTAGGACCCCACCGGCCCCTGCTTGTATAATATGGGGGGCCTTTGTGTGGTGTTTTTAAACTTGAGCACTTGTTCCCAGTAAATGTTTTGTTCCTTATGATCAATGTACTCTGGCATGTTAAAGCAGTATATCTGTCTTTTTAAGGAAAAGAACAACCAGCCTGTTTGAAGGACAATGAATTACCGAACACATGTATAAACAGATACATCACACAATAAAACAGGACTGTCAAAATGTTAACTGTACCAGCATTAGTCTGTTCACATCAGATAATTAATAACATTAACTGTGAAATAAGAAACCAAAGAATATTAGTATGCAACTCCTTAATACTCTTTTTGACATAGTTTTAACTTGCTCACATAGGCTAATACAACAGCACAATAGAATTCCTGAAATTCAGTTATGGCTTTTGGTTTTGATTTGCCACCCCATTACATTATGGAATATATCTGGGAATTTCTGTTGAAGTGTGCAGAAAGGCATAAGGACCCGGATAAGTCAGCAACCCTTTGAAGGTATAGAGTCCCCCAGGAATGAGTCCTAATACCTGGAAATGGTTCCCTCGTCTCAAAGTCATTAGCCCTTTTTAGATAGGAATTGTGCAAATTTGCAGGAAAGCCCAGTCAGTCTTTTTTCAGCATTGGCAGTATAAAAACAAAATCGGGGAGTGCGGCAAAATGCCACCTACCTACTTTTGTTTATAGAGAATGCGCCTTTTTTCGGGGCAATGGGGGGCATGAGCAAGTAACAAAACATGTAGCTCAGCATGTGACGTAAACAGTAACGTGGGCTGGTCAGTCCTTCAGCGATTCTCTCATAAATCGTCCCGTCCTTCACCGTCCCCGTCATCTGACAGTTAATGGCCTCTTCGTTTGCGAGGGCAAGGAGGGTGCGCAATTCCTTGTCTCCCCAGTTGCTCATCATTACAGTGTCTGTCAGGTTTGCGTTTCACTCTTGCTACTAGCTGCTTGCTAATTCCTGATATCAGCTGTTTCCTGTTTATCCACCGCCAGTGGCTCATACTTGCAGCGTCATCAAAAGCTCCTCCCACAAGTCTTCAATAGCCCCTCCTGTTGCGGAAGGCCGCCTCGTTCTGTTTAAACTAAAAGGGTTCCGCCAATATGACTACCCTACGAGGCGGAAAACTGGGCACCTCGGATCAACTTGCCAATCCGGCTCTGTGTATCTAAACGCTCACAGCTTGCCAGCAAAACGGCCCAACATTTGCGGAAAATCTGGCAGTGTAAAAGGGGCTAATGGGGTTTTTGGTTAGATGCCTGAAATAAGGTCTGTGGTTAACACAGGCTTGAGAGACTTTTACTTTTTGTTCTGCAACATAAAATACAAAAGTAAAAACCTAACTTTGACGCTTCTATGTCAACACATTCTCACTCAGACTTCGTCACATATCAGCGTTTGGTCATGTAATTTCTACATCCAGATACGATGTGCAAGGCTCCCTGGGTGCGTTGGTTGGGATGCCGTGTCAAGTTCTGCCTGTTACATGCATTGTCTGTTTTTAAAAAATTCTCAAAATACTCAAAATTTACCATTTACATAAAGTCTCTTTCAAAATAAATGCACTACATCAGAACAACACCGTAAATTGACATTTTTTCCTTCAACGACAAACGTCTGTGATTATGTTTTGCCAAACAGGCACACGTAGTTGGGTTTAGGAAAAATGAACAGGGCTTGGCTTTACAATCTAATGGGAAGTGAACACCGCCCTTCTGGGTGACAATTCATAGTTGCTGCCAACAAGTGGCTGTATGAGACTACATTATGTCATCCCGCCATGCCAAATACGGCTTTACAGTCTTGTTGTTGTGGTGGCAATGTTGAAGTCATGTGACCATGGTGTAGTTCATTCATTGCCTAACCTTAGCGTTTCACTTCTGGGGATTGCATTTGGGCTTCTAAAATCATAAAAGTAGTGTTCATTTGTGAAGATGATCTTGATGAACAAAATGTGTAAGTGTCATTAACATTTAAATACCACAGAGCCTATTTTCTGCAATAATCCAAAATCCTATGGAAAAATCCCATAGGATTTTTTGACACACAAACCAGGGCAATGTTAACTTGTGCGTCAGCCTATACAGAAATGCCATCCCTGGGGCTCTCTATATTTTGCAGGAATTGACCGTTTGCCAGTGAAACTTCCAAATCCCAAATTGTCTCATGTGCTATTTTTACATTTTTTTCAGTGCTGTCAGTGGTTTTCATAGCTCCCTCAGTGCGTGCTGTGGTCTGGCACCTAGTCACTTTTATAAAGTCCCAAACCTCACCTGACTTCTGTGCCAAGGAACATCCCGACCACAGCAAAATAAGAAGAAAATATGGGCAGGGGGTATATAATATATATATATAATATGGGCTTTGTCAGCACCTCACATTTTTAGTGGGACATAGGTGATTGGGAGGGATTACTTTTGTATGAGTCTATACAGTGGTTGTTGTTTTTTTTTAGGAGAATCCTCCATAGTGTACCTTCAGTACCCCTATTTAGCATTTATATAGTTTAACCCCTAACCCTGAACAGTACATTATATACAGTACATTTGTCATTAATTATTTAGAACACACTGTAATGTAGCTCTAAGCACATATACAATAAGTGTGTATTAATGTATATGTCAACAACTGTAACTCCTCCTTTGAGATTTCTCAAGGCTGTAGGCTGAGGTAAAACAAACAGACGATGAATGACAACATATAAAACACAGTTGTAATGCAGGAGAAGTTATGATTGGTGGCAAATATTGTAAATTAAAACCGACTTTATAGCTGATAACACTGTAGTGTGTTGTAAATGATTCACTAAATGTTTATATACTGCTTATAAATGCTTAATATGGAGGGATAGAAGGTATTTAAAAGAGTTTATAACAGGTGATTCAGGCATAATGATTTTGGAACATGATTTTATTATAATAAAATATCATTGTCGGATAAGATAAAGTTATACTTGACTGCCTCCCTATAATCTTTATTTATTGGTATTTGGACAGTAAATATATGACAGCATATGTAGATCATATATATTCTATATCAGCTTATTCCATCTCTTTATTGAAGTTACTGTATTTAATGTTCTCACTAGGTCAAATACTCAAACCTCACACTTGTAAAATACACATTTCCCCCTAAAACTTCACAAATCACAATATGTAGTTTGAAGAAGCCTAAAAAATGGCGTTAAACTGTGCACTGTTAGAAAAATGCGCTCAGAAGGAAGTAAATTGTGCATTTGTTGGCGATATTTTCAGCTAACTTGCAACAGCAGGATGGCGTACAGTACAGTATGTTTATGGTAATGAAGGAACATGTTAACCAATATGTTTTTAATAGCTTGTGGAAAAGAATGTCTCCCACACACAGAAAAATCTATTAATTGTTGGTTTAAGTTATTTTTTATGGGATTTCTTGACAATAAGATAAACATAAACAAATGTCAGGACTTTTCTTTAAAGGGGTCAAAGACAACTTTATATTTCTTTTCCCTCTTCAGACTCGAGAGGAGTGGCAATATGTGTTCCTGATCGCCTCCTTGGTGCATTATGGGGGTGTGATCTTCTACGGGATCTTTGCTTCAGGAGAAAAACAGCCGTGGGCCGACCCAGAACTGACCAGCGAGGAGAAGTGCGGCTTCATAGACGAGGAAGAGCTGGCAGAAGAGACGGGCGACATCACTCAAAGTTACGGTGCCTTTGGAGCTCAGCCCAAGTCGTACGGTGCAACCACGCAGGTGAACGGAGGCTGGGCTTCAGGCTGGGAGAAGACAGAGGAGTACGTCCAGGAGGAGGCGCAGGCAGGAGGCTACGGCTACAGGCAGGATGAGGGATACTCCTAGACCAAACACACATTCGCCGACACATGAGTAGACTTATTTTCCTGAGTGTGCATCAGTTTAGTCATAAAAATATCGACAAACGAGAAAAACTACAATCCATTGTTGTATTGTTTGCACAAATTCTAAAAGAAAAAACCTAACAAAGTATCAACGTAATGTAAAAATGACTAAAATGTGTAAAAAATACAAGGATATTTCGATTAATAGAGGTGTAACATATCAAATTGGCAGTCTGTAAATGTATTATTATGCATATTGATAATAGATATATTCATTTGGAGTGCAATTGTGTGTAAATGTGGACATCTTCATCCCATCAGCCGAGGCTTCCTGGCCAATCTGAAGCCTGTAGGCTTAGCCTACATAGAAGCTGCCCAAGAGAACCAAACCCCTTATTTATCAAACTAACTGTTACAGTACAACGTCCTAGAAGCCAGCCATTACAGTGTATAGATATGTCACTGCACAGCGTCGTAAACAGGAACTAGACACTCTGTCGATATAGATTGTACTGTATCTCTCCTGAATGCACTCAGAGTAGTGTGTCCTCTTAATGCACAATATGATGGTCTTTTTGTTTTCTTATCACCGGCTTCTGTGTGTGTGTGTGTGTGTGTGTGTGTGTGTGTGTGTGTGTGTGTGTGTGTGAGAGTGTGCGTGTGTAAAAGTCCAAAACATGTGAGTGACCTGGTGTAGAGATCTGAGTGGCATATAATGACCTGTGATGACCGTTTGGTTGCACTTGCATATAAGGTAAAACATGTCTGTCTAATGTTTGCTATATGTGATCCATTTTGTAACTCGGTACCTCTGCAGTCGAACGTTTGAGTTTAGCATTTTCAACCCGTCACATCTCAGCAGTGTAGTGCAGGAGTAAAGCCATTCTCATTATTGTACTCACCATAACTGTCAAAAGTCTAGTTGCACCAATGCGCTACTGAAAGATTTGTCTTAGATAAATACATATATGACAGAGAAATCTAGAGATAAAGATGTATAAGAGTTTATAGATTAATTTAGACCAAGAGATTCATGGTCATACACGACCTTATGAAGGGTTTGTGCAATGCAAAGACGTAGCAAGTACAGACTAGCCAAAACCAGTATGAGATTCTTAATATATTAGAGCAGCAAACCTAATAATAATAATAATGTTTAATGTGAAGGGGAAAAAAATGAATATTTAAAATGGCGTGAGATAGATATTAACATGATCACATGGAGAAGAGAGTAATTTTTGATGTTAAAGCCTCTGAAAACAAAGTATTTCTCAATAACATCAAATATTTATGACTAAAAAAGCAACAACATGAACTGAAAAAAGAAATCTGTCATGTGAAATAATCAAAAACGAGAGATATGAGGGTTTATGTAGGATTATATTGTTTAAAGGGGACCTATTGTGCTTATTTTAGGTTTCTACTACACTTTACACACTTTAATATTCAAAACACACTTTATTTTTCACACACTGTCTTCCTGAATATAACTGTATCCACCCTCTGTCTGAAACACGCTGCTTTAGTGCCTGTCTCTTTAAGACCCCGCTCCCAGAAAAGCACAGTCTGCTCTGATTGGTCAGTGTATCCGGGTCTTCCATTTCTCGGCGTCCCTGCACCATCATCGCAGCGGGGGAATGACTGTAACGGAATATAACGACATTTTCTGCTGTAAAAAAATTACCAAAAAAAGGAGTATGATCAGCAACAAGGAATACATGTTCCCCTGATGTTAGCATGTAGCTACATGTAGCAGTGTAGGCTACGTGCTGTAAACACTTAGTGTGAACCTGTAAGCACAGGTGCTGTGGGGCGACACATATGAAATGGCAACACAATTGTCATATATCAACGTTTGGTCATGGACTTTTAAGTTCTGCCTCATACATGCATTGTCTTCTTTCAAAATACACTTCTGTTTTTACAGGAAATTTACCGTTAACATAGAGTCTCTTTCAAAATAAGCACACTACATCAGTACAACACTGAAAATTGACGGGGTTTTTTCCCCTTCGACAACAAATGCATGTGTTTGCGTTTTGCCAACACACACATGGCTGGGTTTAGGAGAAAAGAACAGGGTTTGGCTTTACAATCTCAATCGAACACTGGCGTCTCAGGTGAAAGACGGTGTTTGTTGGACCCATCCACTACCCCTCTCACCTGCACCCTTGGACTTTCACCGCCTTAACTTTTGTTCTTGTCCTGCCATGTTTCCCTCTGATGCTGCCGCGCACTGTTAAACTACAGTATAATGGCGATTGGCCGTGTATCATGCCGATGTTAAAGGACGGCTTTTATCATCGGTGTCTGATGCCGCAAGTCACTGCCCAAGCACCGGACTTAAAGACTTCGGAGTGAGACCAGGTTAGAAATAGGGCGGTTTAGAGAGTCAAACACTTAATTTCCTATATCCTGGTGAAGTTTTATGCATCTTTTGCCTTTTCTGCAGTTTACGGTGGAAATGTCTTAAATCACGTCAAAATAAAACTTCTCTGCTCCTGTCATGGTTTAATTAGAGGGAACAAATGCACATGTTCAAATGTTCTAAATATTGAGGTGGACATGCGCCCTACATCCCCCCCGAAATCTTCACCTCTGAGATGACTGTAAAAAGGAATTTGTCATCAGCTTGTAGCCAAAGTAGAAAAGCCATTGTAAAAAAAATAATTCCGAACAATCTGAAGCCTGGGGTTTTTGCTCACACTGATTTGTTTTTTACATTTTATACCTCATTTTCTGAAACTTTGGCCACATTTAATATGAACATCGGACACTGTAATATTTTCTATATGACAGAAAATATGAAAAAGGCAAAATAGGTCCTCTTTAAAGTGAGAAGCTGATTGGGAATATGTGTTTTCGGGGCCTTTAAATCTGAAGGGAAAATAGTTTAAAATGTGAAATGACATGACAGAAATCAAAGTGAACAAACAAGTATTTGAATGTTTACATATACGTTGCATTACGTTCACCAAACCAGGAGATTTCTATTAGCGGTTATAGAGACGATGCAGCAGGAGGGGCAATCACAAATGTGTGCAATTTGGACAAACTGCCATTTGTCCATTTCCATCACAGGACGGAAGTGAGATTAAACAGTTTATGATGTGATGTTTGATGCAATGACCTGTCTTCATGGGCGTCTGGTAATGAAAAGTGTTTTAGGCTCCTGAGTAGAAAGAACAAGCGAACACACCTCCACAATCACTTTCGTCTTCATTCTGCACTTACACTGACAAGGTCTGAAGGGGGCCAATTTTGTTTGATTTATCACCTGTCTGTGGAGACCTTGAGTCAGCATTTCACAATATAGATGTGTGTGGATGTGTATTTATGCATGGAACAAAGTGAAATTTGCTGTATGTCCTTTTTCAATTTCCCCTTTTCGTTCCAACTTATTTGTCTTTGTCTCAGAAACTGTTACTGATGCTTCAATTTCTTTGCACAATCAACCAAAGGTGAAGAGCAGAGCTGGGTTTTAGCTGGAAGTCAAATGTTTTTGAGGGAATACAGACCATCAGCAGCGAGGTTCCAGCGTTTGGACCCCCAGTGTGCAGGTGGCCCCAAACATTACTCAGTGTACAAAGCAATAAATTCATAGTAACAGTTCTGGTCAAACGTCACAAACAGTCATTATGTTGCTGTTTTTTATGCATTTGTTTGAAAGTCATGTTTTTTTGTGATAACAAATGTAGAAAATTAACACTTGTAAAGAAAAAAAACATATATGTATGAAAAATATAGTAATAGAGTCCAGCACAAACGTCTTTGACAACAAAGAGGTGCGAAGAGTTTGTGACGGGGCTGCTCACCAGATGAGAATGATAAAAAGAGCTCTGCCTGAGAGGCGGACGCTCTTCTTCTTCTTCATGTTTCTGTTTTTGTTTTGGTGTGGTCCATGTTGTTTCCTCTCTCTTTCTCTCTCTCTCTTCACTCTTTCCTCACTCTTTAGTTTGATTAATGTTCTTCATTCAGTGGCTGGACCCCCCTACTTATAACCACATGTACCTCCTCCCTGTTCAACCCTGATTCCATTGTCACAATATCCATTGACATTGAGGATGAAACCTAAATAGGTGATTCTGCATTTTCAAAAATGACAAATGTGCAACCTGAAGTAGTTAAAAGTTTCCTGTTTTGTGCCTCTGAAGTTACAGTGTGATTCTATGGCTTCTGTTGCTGTGTAAATTGAGAGATTTGTTGGTGTCGAAATGAAATACTCTATATCCTTTTTTGATAAAAAAGAAAAGCAAACAACTCTGTGTGTGTCCTGAGTATTTGTGTCGACAGCAAAGGAGAACAGGAGATGAAACGAGTCAGACGGTGTTGAAGAGCATGAAATACAGAAAGGTTTTGTTTTTCACCTTTTGTAAATTCTTAGCAACTTTTGTGCTCTTTGACCATTACAAAATGGAAACTGTTGACAGCACTTAAAAAAGACAGTTCAGCAAATGCTCACACAACATCAACAGACACTGATAATATCATCTGTCTCTACAGACACACTGGGCCAAACATGAAGTAGTCTACAGTCAAATTAATATACAGTCAGCTCCAGTGGCATCAACATATTCTCACTCACCTTGTCACATATCAACATTGGGTCATGGACTTTCCATGTCCGGATACGACGTGCAAGGAACCCTGGGTGCTTTGGTTGCTGATGTTCTGGGACGTTCTGTCAAGTTCTGCCTGCTACACGCATTCTCTTCTTTCCAAATACACTTCCCTTTGCACAGGAAATTGACCTTTTACATACAGTCTCTTTCAAAAGAAACATTCATTGATACAACACTTTTTTCCTTCAACAACACGCATGTGGTTGGGTTTAGGCAAGAAAAGCACGTGATTCGTTTTAGGAAAAAAGAACAGGGTTTGGCTTTAGAATCTTACAGGATGCAAACCCTGGTCTCCCAGGTAAAAGTCAAAGTTTCCACAGCCCTCCTGCCCACCTCACTCGGACTTTCACCACTCTAACTTTCATTCTCATCCCACCACATTTACCTCTGATGACGTCAAGCTCCATTAAACTAGTTAAACATGGTTGGACATAACCTTTTGCGATGTTATGATAGGCAGCCAGTCAGCAGTATGATATGCCCGCTGAACAGCATCAGGTTGAAATGCTGCCAGTAACAACGTCATATAAAGAGCTGGAAAGTCCCTATAGAGCGAGTGGTAGGGGTGGTGGATGACTCCAGCAAACCTGAGACTTTCACTCAGGACCAAGTGTTTGCTTCAGGTATGAATAAAAATGCAAAACCATGATGTTTTTGTCTAAACCTAACCATGTAACCATGTGCTTTTGTTGCCTAAACCTAACCACTCAGTACATCAGACGCAGAAAGATACCTGGTGCTGAATATGTAGACATGAAAGGCCACTGACAAAGTGGCGATACGTGACAACTCCGACAACTCAGATGCCAAGATGGCACCTATTCAGTCCAATACAATTGCTCGCCTGGAGTATTCGCCAAAGAAGTTTCTAGCCTCCAGGTTATGTATTAAGAGATCCGAGTACAGCACTGGCAGCAGAGCCCTGTTCATTCCTATGAAAGTTGCTTAGTGGCACATAAAGTCCAAATCACTCTGTTTCTGCACCATGAAATTACCCAAGTGATTGGTGCTGCTTCTCCCTTATTGGGCCCATAGAGTAGGCGCACTAGAGACTTACGGCCGCCGAGCACAACTGCGCAGGACCAAGCAGCCAACTTCCACTGGCTGAGTAGCTAACATCCTGTTTATGGCTCTGCTAACTTGAATGGGGATTAAATAATTTAATTTAAAAGCTCTCTAGACTTTCCAAATGTTAGTGGACTGAATGGATTAAATCTTGATAGCTGAACGAGTCATTTCTTGTGGGTTGTAAGACAAATAAAGAAAAATGTATCCACTAATTTACAGACATCTATTTTCCAATGTAAGTTTATGAGAAAAAAACGTATTTTTGGGGCCACTGGCATCATGTGAGGGACCCTGGAACTGCAGTACCACTGTTTGGCCACTATGAAAATTGTCTCAAAAGCCTGGTGCACTTCCTGGTGGGCCTGTTTGCGGCCCGCTGAACATGCACATGTTTTGTACCCCAATGATATGATACCTTTACCTCTCTTTTTAACCTCCTTTTGTAACTGCAGGGCAGGCAAGAGTGGCTGGATGTGGGAGTCAGGGGAGTGGGACAGTTGGAAAAGGATGATCGGATGAACATGTAGAGAAATGGCAAGAAAGGGGCCTGTGGAAGTGTGGCTGAAAGGAGGGGCAGAGCCGCAGAGTGTGCAAGAACAAACACAGTAAGGCAGACGTTGTGAAAATTATATACTGTGTCAGAGCATAGTAAGTTTAAAGCATACCACATTAATTTTTCTGCAGAATATTTCTCACAGCTTATTCATCAAGACACAATAATATAAACATAAATAACAGGTGTAAAGGGTTTGAATGAATGATCTTAAAAACACATGGCATCAATGTAAGACAATGACAGCAGCGGAGTGAGTGTTAGCTGCTCCTCCAAGGCCACAGGAAGTGCACAGTTAATGGTTGCCCTCCTTCCCTGTTGGTGAAATCAATAGGGTTGGTCCCCAGTGTTCGGCTGGACCTATTGACTGTTCTAACCTTTTAATGGAGATGAGGGGGAGGAGGAGCACTTATTGAGCTATTTGGAGGTGTTATTTCGATTTAGGAGCCGATCCCTACCTCCACCAACAAAGCTTAGGCACACAGCTCTCACAGGCGATCATCGGAAGAGATACTGTACAACAAAACAAACTAGTCCACCTGAGCTGGAGATAAATGATCTTTGTTTCTGTCAGATAAATGTCTTACTGAGACTGTCCACTTAAGTGAAAGATATTTTTTTCAGCTATACATCTTTTTTTATGGACAAGAACAATATGTAAAATATTGAAACATAAAACATGTTACACATAAACATGAAGCATTTTTAAAAGATGAATAAATAAAGTAATTATAGACATGTAACAGCAATGAAAAACATATAATCTGCATTACCTGTACATTTCACTCTGGGTATATTCTTCGGGCAGGAGTTGCACCACCTAAGGGTGCTTTCACACCTGCCCCATTTGGTTTGGTTCAATCAAACTCAAGTTCGTTTGCCGAAATTGAGTTGTTCGTTTGGGCAGGTGTGAACACAGCAATCACACTCCGGTGCGCACAAAAACAACCGGACTGAGACCTTCTTGAAGAGGTGGTCTCAGTCCGGTTACAAACAAACTCTAGTACGGTTGGTTTGTGGTAAGAACGTGTTCCAACCTCGATCCGAACCAACTGTAGTCACATGACACATTGTTTGAGTTAAACATGAGCATGTTACAGTCCTGGAGGATTATTAATGTGCGCCTCCTCCTGTACTGCCTTAATATGCACATTCAGCACATCCAATGCATCAAAACATTGTTTTCTAGTTGGAGCCGTGCCTCGTTTTCAAACTGTATTTTTTGATTAAAATGAACAATGACAGCAATATAGTCCACGATGAGCAGCGCTAAAATCAACCTGCGTAGTCGTCCCTCCACTGTGACATTAGAAAGTGTCACATTTATCTTGCAAGTGTACTCTTCTTCAATGTTTTGTTTACTTCCTGGATTTTTCCCGCATGGAAATTCTGACCAATCAAGAGCAGCTTTCTCGCACAAGGCATTTTATCTAGTCCATTTGTAAATGCTGCTGTGAGAACATGAACCAACTCTTGGCAATTATGCAACTTTGTAACTAGTCCCTGATTCAGACCAAAGCAAGACAGCTCTAGGTCTGAAAGCACCCTAAGACTTCCACTTGGCTATCCATATCATTCTGACTGTATTTACCTGATTATAGTGACTAATTTATTGACATCACTGACTATTTACTGACAACTTATAATCAAAGACTTTGTATTCCAATACAATATTAAGTTTTTTAAACAAACAAGCAAAAGAAAGAGACAAAAACAAAACGTGTATCTACGAAGTCATGACACAAACTGTTATTCCAAGCAGAGTATTTTATTATAAGTCATAAAACATGTCTGAAGAGGATATTCAAAAACAGCTATATAAGAACAGCTAAAGTAAACCTTGTCACTGTGTGGATATGATAGCTGATTATTTGCAGCCATCACATTATGAGGCCTACTCCAACTCTGCTTAACTGTCTCCTTTAAACATCCATTGTGTAGGACGTAGGGGCATCTATTGGCAGATATGATGTAATAGTTGAGCTTATTGGACTTGTTGTCATAACCCCTAAGAGTAACCAGCGCTTGCCACTTGTTTCTTGAGTGGAAGAGGGGTAATCACTTCATTGCGGGTCATCAGGTGGGCACCCTCTTTCATTGGTGTTTCGTTGATAGGCCCACGATACCTCCAGAGGACTCAATGGCGACACCTGGCGTCCCAGGTGTGCCCCCCTCTGCTTTTACCCCTCAGGTTGGACATCTTGCAGACCAGTAAGGGTCCTTCCTGTTTATCCAAAGCCAATTTATGCTTCGCTCAGCAGCCTCTGAAGGTGACTTGATGGCTTGTCTGAAGGCCTGTCCTCAAACCCCCATACTCTTCAGAAGCCTGGTTGATGATGTGGATACAAATCCTCTACGCCTAACCTCTACAGGGAGCACCTGAGTACGCCAGCAAGGTTGTTCTGCATCAGCTGCTGGGTCTGTGTACTTCAGGCCTTTGCATTCGTAAGTTTCTCCAACTGCAGCCTCCCATGGTACTGTTAGTTCTACGATGTACAAGAACGTCTGTGAGGTCAACATATTTTCACACTGACCTCATCACATATTGATGTTTTGGTCACAGAATTTTTACGTCCAGAAATTGATGTTTTTTTTCCCTTCAATAACGAAAACATATGGTTAGGTTTACGTAACAAAGGGAAGTGGTTAGGTTTAGGCTTTGGAATCTTACGGGATGCGAACACCACTCTCGGATGAAACTCTGTGTTTGTTGGACCAATCCACCAACCCTCCCGCCCGCCCCACTTGGACTTTTTCTGTCTTAACTTTCGTCCTCGTCCCGTCGCGTTTCCCCGTAGCGCCACCGGTCACCGTTAAACTATAACGGCGACCAGCCGCATATCGTGCCAACGCTAAAGGACGCCTCTTCAAGTTGGTTTCTGACTCCAAAACTGCTAAGGCGAGACCAGCTCATGAGGTTGACCACAAGATCAGGTCTGGCTTAAGATTAGTTGTAGCAGTCTCTGGTGGAAAGCTGAGTTTCTGATCCAGGTCAACCTGCATTCTCCAGTATTTTG